AATGATACTTGCAAAGGATGTAAAGTTGAATTTCTCACAGTCTCAGCGACTTCCGGTTAGTCCTTTCGAAGTAGATCGAAGGAAAACGATTATACTTTGAGAATGATTCGAGATTGAAGTTTCCAAAAGGTTTCGACGTTGAAATAGTTTGAAAAATACTTGGCTGGGGCGAGGGAGGATGGGATAAAATTAAGTGCCGTGGATGACGAGGCGATAGAAGCGAACTATCTGCGTAGGACCATATGGCGCGCGAAACAAGTCCGATCCTGATCTCGGTGGAGATCCCAGAGTCAGGATCGAGCAAGGTCATTTTTTGCAAGCGCGTTGACCTCGAAAAAGAAGACACAGAAGCCCTCTCTCGATGGACTGCCGGATGTGGATCATCGGCGATTTTCTTGGTACAACAGCCCAGACGTTTATTGCGCGATTAAAATCTTTCGAACGGTCGGGGCGAGTGTTTTGCCATACAGTTCATTGAGACTTCGGGGAACGATGGATCGCGTACGCACGCGCGCCTGGGAAGATGCAAACGACCGCGGTCTCGATAATTAACGGCGGGCTTTTCGAATCCCGGAATCGTTTCGAACGGTGGCATCACGATTTCGTAATTTTCTCTTTAAATCTCGCACCAAGCACACCGCGCTTTTGCAAATCTGTCCGAAAGGAAACGAGAGACCTCGTTCTTCTTCGTGGGCGATTTTCACCTCGTAGACTAGCTTCAGAAAGCGTGAAGCCACGCGTTATGCCTCGTTGCAATCAATCGTCTAGTTATTCAATAGACGAGGAGGCTCTTACATATCGTACGTATCATTATACGCTTTATCCTGAACGTTTTCGAGTCGTCTCGACCGTTGAAAAAAATCCTGAATCGAAGGTGATAAACATATCGAACGTTTTTAAATTTATAACCAGCGCGAGGTGATTTTAATGCCCGCCGTTGAGAACGTATCGTTGAAAGCTTGATACGATCGAATCACGGCGCGAAAGCAACGGTTACGAAACAAGAAACTCTGACCGAAACGGCGATGTTACACATTGGCAACCATTGCCTGGCGCAATTAAACAACCTGTTTCGGGATTCCGTCACGTTATCCACGCCGTTCCCTCTTTCATTCAGGCTCGTGCACGCCGTTCGAAAAATGTTGATGAAGGGAAAAAGCATCGGGGCAATTATAAGGGTACACGTGATCACGGTAAGACAAGAGTCCCGGCTAATAGCGTGTTTCCGGTTCACGAAGGTAATCTACGTGGCAACGAGGCAACGGTAGGGTACCTGCGTGAAAGATAAAAGCCCCTGATCGAGACGTTAATCCGGGACTTAACCGAAATCGAGACTGAACGGTGCCACTTCGCGGGACCAAATCGTTAAGATGTAATTAAAAATGGTCGCTCGCGACGCCAAACTTAAAAGTTACCTCCAAGGGTGGACGAAAGGTATTTATATCGTCGGTAAAAAAGAATCGCGCGGGTACGCAGAGCGGCGAGAGATAAATAAGATAGAATTTATAGGGAGCAACGGTGCTCCCAGCTGCACTTGCTGCACTCATTATCGCCCTCGGGAGCTCGTTTATACGGCGTAAGGTAACATTCGTGCGCGATGTCACGCGAAATGGATCGAACGGGCACTCGAAATAAATACCTCACGGGCAACGAGAGAGGAAAAAGGAGATCGAAGATTTATAATTCACGGTTACTAGGCAAGGACGTCACTGGACACGCGATCCACTCCTCACGATCGAGAGATTCTTGGCATTCCGTGTTCCCTCGGGCCCGATTAAACCCCTCCTTTTATTTCCGCCATTTTTATCCCCTATTCGCCTTGGCAATCGTTACTCTCCACTCTCTTGAAGGCTCCAGAGTGTCATTTTTTCAATTGACTAGTCTCTCTGAAGCCATCCACGCAAAAGTACACTAATTTTGGGCACCGTTCTGCCCGTAGGAGGCAAAAGTCCCAAACAACCGAAAAGAAAGGTGCCTGCAACACGGGCAGACGAATTCTCATTCGGAAGGGAAAAGAGACAATGCGTGTGCGTGTGCGTGTATGGCCATCGTTGACGGGGAAAGGGCGTAATGCCTCAGCAAAGCAGCTTGTTCTTCGCATTCCTTCTCGCGTTGTGCTTGTCGCGTTCACCTCCGTGCATTATATACGACTAAACTCGGTGGTCTCAAGTTCCTGAGAACTGAACCCACGGGGGCTCATAACGCCGTCGATCCCATACCGTGTGCCGCGCCTTCCTTCCCTACGAGCTCGCCCAGCTAAATAGAGTCCAACGCGACCGTCGTCATTCAGCGATTCTTTTTATTCTACCTCACACGGGCCTAAGCTCTTCTGTCCCCGTTACGTCACGATATTGAGTTACGATCCCAACAGAGTCTTCTCCTCGTTCCTGGATCCTCCAATCAGCAACAACTTGCGCAAATAACGTCCCAAAAATTATGGGACTTGCAGTGCCACAAAATGGGCTCATTTTAAAGCTTGAACTCTCTGCTTTCACATATACCATCATACATTTTCCAAAAACCCTTCTGCTTGGAAGAGTAAAGTGAAAAACTGAGGGTCTTCTTTTTAAGTTCCACAAGTCCAAAGGGCTCTGCGATCCTCAATTTTCTTTGCAATTTCTTTTGATGTTCAGTTGCAAACAGAAGTCTCCCCTTTATGGGGGGCCCCTCAAAGTCGACGTACGACGTTCGAATGCAAAGCGGCGCCCGCCAAATTTGCAAACTCTCCACCGAACAGATGACACAAAAGATGAACTTTCCGTCGCAGCTGTTTGAGAATGCTGGACGTCGGTGACAGATGCAACAGGTGTAATCAAATTGCACGCGAAACACTGTGTTTGGCGTCGCTGCTCGTGTGAGGAATATCGTTGATCACTAGTTGCAGTTCTAAATGAGTCCGAACATCTGGATGGAAGATGATCCGGACCGTTAAGATTGTTCTCGATCGAACGATGCCGGCTTAAACTGTCCGCAGCTGGGCTGTAACAGCGCCACAAATAATGTCTGACGGGAGGAAAGCGGTGGACCCGGGGACTGCTTTTCTAGCAAACACGGGGAAAGCCAGGAAGTACGGAAACGTCCTAACGAGATCGACGGGGCACTGCCTGCCACTTAAGCGGCGTCTCAAGCATCCTCGGAGTGCTTTAATTGACCAGCTGACTCGTTAAAAACTACCATCGATAACCGATGATGCGTGACATTAACGACAACTTAAGTGCAGCGCTTGGCTATCGAATTAAAACCGTTCGAGAACTGTCGAGGAAGTTCCATGACTTTGTTAGCGATCCATGAAGGGGATAAATGAAATTCTGAAGTTTGTAAACTCCCATCGAGGAAGTTGAAGCTTCGATGGAAATCAAAAACCTCTTCCAAGGACGTAGTTCGTACCCCGGAAGCCTCGAACAGTTTCAACCGCAAGAATCCGTGAAGACCGGATAAGATCTAAATTCGCAGAGGTTCCGAACGAGTCAGGGAATTGAACTTAACGGAAGTCAAGCTGGGTTTTAAAAAAAACACGTGACTATTGTCTTTGTCATCGTTTTTTAACAGTAACTAACAACTTGAGAATACTGTAGGGTTCACGATAGAGCTCTCAATTGTCACGAGGATCGATCTAATGCTTTTCCACTTTGATAAATTCGAGGGCAAGCATAATCCATCACGGGGGAGCGATAGTATTACGTTTCGTTGCAAAATTTCCTGGTGGTCCACCTGTCAGCGTCGCACCTGCCTTCCTAACCACTTAATGCCAACGTTAATGACCATTCATGGATCGTTGGTTGCACGACATGTGGGTAGTAAGGTGGAACGCGATTTATTTTCCATACTGATATTGTTCTCTCTCTCTTTCCACCGAAGAGGGTAATCATGGTCGTAAATACAACCTGATCTGCATGTGATCGCAGATAAATAACTGGTTTTGCTGAATTTTATAGCTTCTTTAAAAAATAATTGTGGTGAAAATTGTGTTTGGATGTACTTCGATGGATTTTTGAATGGCAACAAAGTGGATCCATTGTTGTACCGTTCAAATGTATGCAACCCCCTCGTTAAAGGAGCGATACGTCATTATGTGAAATTCATTATGACCTGGTTCTTTCATATCGTAGGCCACTGACGCTACGAATTAATCGGGCTTCCATCGCGAAGGACGTTGCCGGTGTAAGGTCGTTCACATGACCCCCGGCACGTTCATGGGAATTTATTTTATTCTTCGCTTCGGTGTATCGATTTGCCCTCGAAAGGCGATACATAATGTGAGAACAAATTAACATACACCGAGTGTCCGTTAACTAGTTCCGCTTTGGGGGATTATTCTGGCCTTGCATTGAAAACAACGCGAAGTAGCTTATACCGGATCCTTATGGATCCATCTGTGTCCAAGTTGCTTATTGCAGTGTTCAAAATGGCTGTCCTCTTTCAAACAAAACAGTGACATTAATGTGTACTTAATTCCACTGTGTTATGCTTGAGTATTTCATGCCTTCTATATCACATGCAAGTGTTAAGGACCTGTATGATTATTCAAGTTTTCCAAGATAATAAAATGAAAAACGAGAACCACATGGCTCGTTAAGTAAGCTTAGAAGAATCTACACCTATCCTGATGTGTAGATTCTTCTGTAAACACTGCATCGCATACATTTTCACAGTTTGTACACTTCCAGAGTAAAGGCACTTTAACTACCGCTTGGATCACATCCCAATCGACAAAAAATAGGGTTTAGTAGACTCCTCTTCAAACACCGTATCACACATACTTCTTTAAGATACCGTTTGAGCCGTGATCCGTTCATTCCGTTGAGTAACTCCATCTGCAACAAAAAAAAAGTAGGTGTCAGTCTGGGGAGATCTAATTATTCGGTTTGGCGCCAAGAAACTACAACGATCACGTTCTTCGTTTAATGGGCAAGAAACGCCTGGCGCAATTACATGATCGACGAAAGCAAAAAGCAGAGTTCGGAAACGTCAACTAACGAGGCGCATTGTTTCATTTGCAGATGCGACTGTGATCACCAGCGACGGCCTTCAAGGCTACGACCCTCAGTTCATGGTCGGCTGTTACTTTCCCGCGGAATTTCAGGGTGAGTTCATGACACAGGTGAGCGGAAAGGAAGCCAGCGATACGACCAACGAACCCATTCAATACTCCACCATCAACATCACATTCAACGCTATACCTGTGTGGGGCTACTGCCACAGGAGGGTCGGCGATAACGTGTTGCTAATGGACAGGTCGGTCTACGCTGAAATTACGAATTATTCAGTTCCCGGTGATTTAATCTAATTCCGGTGTCTCCGCGAACGCTTGACCCTGACACGACAATGACCACTCGTTATAAACGTTATTTACCTACTGCTAGCTCAGTCATTTGCAGTGCAAAAAAATGCTGAATAGAAACCACTCTAGTAAAGAACTCTTCTTGGTCTGTTTAGCCCAGATTACTGCAAAATAAATTACTACTTTGCATATCAAAAGCATATACACCACTTCCAAACTACTAATTGGTCCACCAAAGTATGATCCATGGTAATTATGCGTTAGATCTGGGTCTTTCTCTCATAGAGAACTCTTCTTGGCCCACTTATCCCAGATTACTGCAAAATTTATTACTACTTTGCATATTAAGAGCATATGCACCACTTCCAAGCTACTAATTGGTCCATCAAAGTATGATCTATGATAATTCTGTGTTAGATCTGGGTCTTTCTCTCATAGAGAACTCTTCTTGGCCCACTTATCCCAGATTACTGCAAAATTTATTACTACTTTGCATATTAAGAGCATATACACCACTTCCAAACTACTAATTGGTCCATCAAAGTATGATCCATGGTAATTATTCGTTAGATCTGGGTTTTTCTCTCATAGAGAACTCTTCTTGAACCACTTATCCCAGATTACTGCAAAATTTATTACTACTTTGCATATCAAAAGCATATGCACCACTTCCAAACTACTAATTGGTCCTCCAAAAGCATGGTCTGTGGTAATTCTGGGTTTCTGCTCTATGTCAATTAAAATGCTTGTGATCATGGTGGTGTCGACCAAAAAAGTCTCTGACTAGATCCTCAGGCTACTGCTGAGGCAACAAGGACCTCCTTTGGTCTCTGGAAGTCCCTAGATTCGGGCTATCCCAACGCAAATGATCCTCCATTGTTGGCGGCGCCAAATGCTATCCAAATCCGCGAACGCACCCTCAGGGATGCTCCGACGTCTACAGTGTGTCTGGGATGGAAATAGACCAGACTGCAGACAGCGTCTGCTACACTTTCAGCGTTTCATGATTAACGGTGCGCCATTCTAAATTTAATGGACCGGTAAATAGACGATACCTCGAATTACCTGCTCGTCCGACAAAACGTTTGCAGAACTTATCGTTCATTTGCAACGTATTTGCAAGGCTGGTGCACCGTGGCAAAAGATCGACGCTGCTTTTTGCTCTATTGTCGCCAGTCCATGACAAACGTAGGTTTCTTATCCATCGATGGCTCGTGGTCTTCAGTTCCGGGTACATCTTCCGTAGTCCGCTGGGCACATTTTTAGAATTTTTCGTTCGCTTCAGGTACAGCGACGGCGAGTGCATACGATGCTTTCGTCTGTTGAGGAGATCGAGGAACGTGATCGAAGTGTTCTCCGAAAATCTGAACAGGTGTTACACTTCTGAATCCACGGCTCTGGCTTCTTGCGAAACGTTGAACTCCACGTCGATCTTGTACCGTGAGTAAAATTTAATTATTTTCTTAGAAGGGTATTAAATGCACTTTTACAGTTAACTGGCAACGATCCAAATTGTGTACCGTCTGCTTAGGTACCAAAGAGATAGGAAACGTTGCTATCAGGAACGAGTACTGTCCCATAACCGGGCAGTATCATTTCAAATACAGCGTGAACAATGGATCGAAAAGGGTCATTGAATGCAACAGCTTTTCGTCCTCTTTCAACAACTGTCCAGACGGCTCCGTTTTACGACTGCACTTCAATCGTTGCACCTTCGAATCTCAAGGTACTTGATAATTATTTCCTTCTTGACTTCTCAATTTCACTGTGTTCTTAACGTTCCAGCAAATCTCACGTTCAACTGTTTGGGCAACTGGCCTGGCCCAAACGGATCCACTTATTTTGCCCTGTTGGACAACAATGCAGCCAGCGAAGGCAGACCGCAATACAGATGCGGGGTGAGTTCTAAACGGTGCTTGGAACCCTGTAAATCGCGTAATTTATTGCCTGTATCCACGTATGGAAATAATTGTTACAGTTATACCACGTCGATAACAAAATGGGTAAGACGTACATGGCGCTGAGCAGCGATTCTAGCTGTACAGAAAATTTAGACAATTCGACCAGCGGATACGAGACGCTGGTTCTTAGCAAGATTCCAAATCAAAAGAAAATGCCTAATTACGTGAAGACTCACGTGGCCACGTCAGTATAATTTTAACGAATACAAATAAATATTTCGATTTCATTGTTAATGAGTTATTTCAAAATATCCGTTGACACAGATTCCCAAAATGGGCCCAAGGCGTGTGGGAACAATCTCTCATCGTGAACGGCACTATGACCTTCACTGACCTCAACGGTTACAATAGTTACACTTTTATCACCGTAGATTCGAACGAAGAGACCGGTCGTTACATAGTTTACTCCAAGGACCAATGGTAAAAACAAAATATCGACTAATTTCAAATTTTAAAAACTAGTTTCAACAAAATGATTTTGGATAACTTATGTTTCTTTTCCACCCCCCAGTGAACAGGCGGCTTATTTATGTTTAATGATGAGGCAACGAAGCGAAAATGTATTAGAATTCACTATAGGTATTTATCTTTCCTTTTCGAAATCCTAACAATAAAATGTTATCAGAAACCTGACTTTGGAAATGATCATTTGCAGGAATAGTACTGAGCCCAGTTTATCAAACATATTTGTGCGACGATCCCAATTTGGATAAGCCTGTATGGATGACTCAAGCAAGTAAGTTAAACGTAAAAATCAATGTCGCGATTATTAATTGGAAACTTATTGTGGAAATTGAAACTTATTTATTAGGGGTGGAACGTGTGGTGGAATCGCCTTGTCCAATTACCGGCCAATATATGGGAATGATAACCGATTTATCAGGCATGTGCGCCGAGTTAAGCAGCAATTGCAACACGCGTGAAATAATGTATTTTAAAGTCACGGACTGCGAGTCTGGCGAACTTTACGGAGGTAACATATTGAGTCTACTGTAATCTTTAGTACGAAACATTTCAAATAATTTAGTCTCGAAATATGTTTCAGAACGAGCATACCTCTGCTTAGGACAATGGGAAGAAAAAGGTGTTATGTACGCGTATACGTTGAGAAACGACACCAGTACCAACGAGTGCTTCGTGGGTTTAATCGTGAACGATGAAGAAATCTATATCAAAGAGGCAGGGGATCACTGCATTCGAAACATCGACCCTAAACAAGAAGGAATGCGTCTGTATAAAAAAGGTAATTTTTTAAATTCGAATTGTATAAAAAAAAAAATGAAAATTCAGATGGTTTATTTAATGCTACTTCAGGCCAATGTTATGGAAATTCTCCAAGCCCTGCGCCAACACCAATGAAACCAATTCCTCGCAATCCAATAATGAGAATTGCGACAACCCCTAGATCCAGAATATCAGGTAAATTTGAACGGTTAAAAATTTTTTTATTTACATTGTATCATCGATTCTACGAAATTTTATTTGTTTTCTTGTTATGACAACAGGTACGAGCAGCATACCAGGAAATAATATTCCATCCTTGACCTCCAGTAACGCAACTGCATCCTACAGTTTCGTAACGCTGGTAATGTTACTTACATTCTCCAGAAGTATTTACATGCATGTTTGAGTAACTACACTGCCATTAGCGAAGAACAATGAAATAGCAAATGAATATTCCTACGCGACTGACAATGCCTACCGTCGTTAGAAAATACTGGGAAGATATAAATCGCACGTGGAAATCAGATTACTTAATTAATTTCTAATTACTTTATAATTTAACTTGTACAGGGTGTTCCGCCATCCCTGGGAAAAATTTTAATGGGGGATTCTAGAGGCCAAAATAAGACGAAAATCAAGAATACCAATTTGTTGATGGAAGCTTTGTTAAAAAGTTATTAACGTTTATAGTTCCGCCCGTACTGAATTTTTTTCTCGAAAATGCGCAGTATTTCGGGGGTATGTCTATTCACTAAAAATGATTGTAATTGACCCCCGCAACCGAAAATAATTTTTCCAGAACGATTTGAAATTTTTTTTTCTGTAGAAAAATTTCACATCTTTTCGAATTTTTTTCTAGAAAGTGGGTAGGATTTCGGAGGTATGTCTATTCACTAAAAATGATTGTAATTAACCCCCGCAACCAAAAATAATTTTTTCAGAACAATTGGAAATTTTTGATTTTAATTGTTAATAACTTTTTAACGAAGCCTCCATCAACAAATTGGTATTCTTAATTTTCGTCTTATTTTGCCCTCTAGAATCTTCTATTAAAATTTTTTCCAGGGGTGGCAGAACACCCTGTATGTATGGGAAGTTGTAACAATTTAATTTTTAACCAGGAAGAGCTGCAAAAATATCAGAAAATTGTAAAGTTACAATTTTCGTGCTATCGTATATTATATTAACAAATACCTCTACAATTTATTTTTGCTTTTAAAACAACCATCTCTGTAGATACATAAACTTTTATAACTTATGATATTTTCACCAAACACTGCCTTGTAAGATACAAGTAATAGGCAACTAAAAACTGTATGTTGCTAGGAGAATCCAAAGAAGTCAACATCTAATATACATCCATTTTAATACCTTTTTCGTACCTTCACATTTTTAGAGGCAAATTTTTTAGAGTAAATTTGGCAAATATGGTCAACACCGAGTAATAATTTCTTTTTTCCATACACTGAGTTTAAAAACAAAAGAAATTTTCAATGGAAGTGAAATTTAAGCATGTAATTAAAAATATACAATATACAAAATACACAAAAGAATTTTAATTTAGCTTGAACTTTGTATCTTTTATATTTAATAGTTAGCAAAATATTTTTACAGTTATTTAATAGAAAGTATATTTATGCCAAATTCGAACATCCCTCGCATACTATATTTTTGTAAATATAAAAGTTAGGATTAATTGATAGAGGAACAGCAGGAGTGGAAAAAATCTTACTAACAGACACACAACAATAGAAACGAAGATACAAAATTCCCTAAAGCGATTGAATACGCGTAATTATTACTGTTAATTAATCAATGAGACTGACTGTAATAACTGCACTGTACAGAATAGTCCACAATAAACAGAATACCTAAACATTAATTCGTGTATTTAACAACAAATGTGATAGGCAATCTGTTTGTGGTGGACCATCTTGTGTATTAGTAACTATATCGATTTATAAGTAACTTTGTTTTTAATTTATATTTAAATGATGGAACAACTCTATTTTCTAACAAAACGCATATTAATACGTAAGAATCAATTCTGAAGAGAAGAAAATGTTTCAAGCAATACCACGCAAAAAAAAAATTATATTTTATAATACGCGAAAGTTTTACAGTTAGTGTAAAACACAAACAAAAGAACAAATGTAATAAGCATACAAACAGTAAGATATACTATTGCATGTAATATGTTCTCTGTGATTTTAGGGGGAATTTTTAAAAAACAAGCAACAATAAGCTATTACATTACAATATTAAATACACTACATGTTAAATTAATTTTAACTTTAACATCTGCATATTGATGTATGCAAATGTCATATATTTTAAAGTAGGATTTTTACAAGCAAGCATTGTGTGAAATGGTACTTTTATAAAATACTTTTAAGACTTGTTTTTGTATTTATATATAAATGTATATACCTATGTATTTGTAAACTGATAGATTAGTGTATAATATTAATATCATGGTATGTACAATGTACATAGCATTTACTTTTTCCAGTCACATTGTGTATAGTATTAAGAATAAGTTTCTTGGATACAGTGGCAGATTTGAACTTACTAAATTTAAATTATATGTATAATTTATACTGTCATCTTACTATGTTTGTATAAGTGCTAAAATTCAGTCCAGCACCATACTATTCCTGTAATAATTACAATGCATAAAAGTGCAATTGAGCCAATATTTTATACGAAAGTCTTTTGAAAACTTAGCTATTAATTATTGCAATTGTACATACATCACATTACAGATGAATTGAATATTAGCAATTGCTGGAACAATTTTTCTATGATTGCTATTTTATAATTCTCTTTAATATTACATTTTACATTCTTAATTGACAATGTCTCCAGCACTAGCCTAATATTCAAATCTTAATGTATAAAAATAAACAAAAATTACTTGCTTGCATATTATTAAGTTATTTATTTTACATAGTCATATGATAGCATAAAACAATTTGTATATTAATATTCTTACACGAAATAAACGATTTTTAAGGAATAAACATGTTCCTTTGATCTTTAGCATTATTGAAAAATAAAAAATATTATTTTCGAAACTTTCGAAACAGATAAAGAAAACAATTATCGTCATTCGTGCTGAGATAAAAGCATACGAATGCTGCTATTGACTTTGCATAACAGATAGAAACAAATAGAAATATGATTGTTTTGAACACATTTTAAACATTCATACCTTTTGATCTCACGCATTCCTAAAGTTAAAGTTATGAGTTTTGGAATCTACTCGTCAAAACTCTACCACATCCTGTAAAAATATTTTAATGATTCTTGGTCCGAGGTCATATGTTTCAAAATCACTGTGTATCGTGCCAGACACGACAGGATATGTCTTAACCAAGAAATTAGTTTTCTTGGCTAAACTGCCGATAGGGGCCGCCATCTTTATAAAATTGTATTTTACTGAAACTGAAATTTAAAAACACCCAGAAACACCACAGAACTGTTTTATCAATTATTTTCATATTGATAACGTTAAAATTGAATCGTAGATCTTTTTCTATCTTACGTAAATCCTATCGAAAATACAGGCATAACCAAAGATGAACTAACAATTTAATAGAAGTGAAGTTTAACTCATTCAACAATTTACGTTATGTGAGATATACATCGTACACTAATTAAATCATTTAATCCAGATTTAATAAAAAATATAACGAACCAATAAAAACTTCACTATACCAGATTGTCACGTAATCTATCAATAATTTCAAGGATGGGTACTTATTTTCATTTTATTTATGTTAGTGCTATTTAAAAAATTTATTATTTGCAAAAATAATATCATAGAAAAAAATAAAAAAAAATCTACAACGTATCTTTTTGACATGAAAATAATAAACAATGATAATGTATGATTTACAAATATACAAAGAGAATGCTAACAATTGAATCTCTTAACAACATGTACTTTTATTTCCTGAGGATTGGCATTTGCATTAACATTAAAATATATCTTGCGAGATTTCGCGTCTGATAGCATCGAATTCCACATTGGATCTCTCTATAAAAAAAAAACAATATTTATTCTATATTAGTAAACATATCCCGTTAATTGCAAGTTTTACGGTCTCGATGTTGCATCATCTTACCATAAAGACATTGAAATTACCGCACATTATCAGACTGTGTTTCGCTCGCGTGAGAGCGACGCAAAGTCTTTGCCTGTCGGATAAAAATCCGATCCTCTGGCTTCGAACACACGACATAATAATAACATCACGTTCCTGACCTTGAAATCCATCAACGGTATTTACTTCGAACTTCACCTTTTTCTTAAGACTTTCCGACAACAAAGACATTCTGAAATCGTTAATATCTGTAATTAGTAGGTTCGACGGATACCGGTTTGCCGAAGGACTTACTTTTCATTGATCTTCTCTTGTATTATAGATTTTTGATTGTTGTACGGCGTGAGAATGCCAACCGATATGCATTCCCACTTATCTAAATTGGCGGAAGAGAACATAGAGAAAATCATGTTGGCTACAAACTGTGCCTCGTCGGTATTCGAGAAATTGTCGTTGTTCTGGCTCGTTTTAATGTTGAGTATTCGATAGGCATGGAACGGGAAGGTTTGGTTTCGCGCTATGGCGGTTTTCAATTTACCGCCGTAAAAGAATTTATTTGGCCAGGAGGAGATCTCGTGCGGCATTCGATACTGCGTATCCAGCATGATGATAGGGTTGGTCGATGAGAATTCAAAGGCGTTTTGCACGCGCGAGAAAATGGACTGATCCAGTCCCAATTTCTTTGCCTGTGGACTTAATATGGTAGCGGGTAACTGATTCGGATCGCCGACCAGGACCAACGTGGACACACCCAACATCAACGGTATCAAACTCTCCGCCTCGCAGCTTTGCGTAGCCTCGTCCACGATGCAAACAGATATCCTCCTTTTATCGGCCACGAAGACAGATTCCATTTGATTGTTGTAGCAGGACGATAGCGTGCACGTTATTATGTCGGCGTGTGAAAGTACTCTGTTCTCCGCGGCGCGTTGTATCTTCGCCAGTTCCCTCGAATTTATTTCGTTCAACGGTCTACGGCATTTCAGCAACTCGTACTTGGCAGTCACGTCCGCCAACTTCATTCGAATGTGCCTGTGGTAAATCTCGTCCATCTTCTGGGTGTTCGCGATCTCGCATTTCAGAGCGTTCATTTTCGATTCCAAGAACGCCTTCTCCTCGTCCACGCTGTCAAGAGGAATGCTGTTCGTGTTGGTCGTCGTTCTCTTAACCTCGCGTCTCGCAAGCTCGGTTACGGATATATCCTTCACGACCGGGTGCATCGAGTCCGACCTACCGATCCGCACCATCTTGAACCCTTTGTAGTTCACGTTTTTCATGTTCGATCTGATTTGCAACAGCCTCAGGGTAATTTCATCGATGGCTGCGTTCGACGGGGCGCACACCAATATTCTCAATGGACCGACGCTGTTCGCGTACCTGTTGTTTCCGTACAGCACCTGCGTAACAATATTCGCGATTACTTTCGATTTACCGGTGCCCGGCGGTCCCTGAACGAAACACAGTTTCGCCTGTTTCTGCACTATGACGTTGGTTATCTTGTGAACGGCTTCCAGCTGTTTCTGGTTCAAATTGTCGCGCGTTATCATCGCCTCCAACGCGGACACGTTGGGCAAGTGGTACATTTCGATCTTCGGGCTTAAAATGGCGAACATCAGCGGCGAATTCGGTAGACATTCCAGCGCCCGGACCATTCGCAACGTGGACCGCAAATAAGTCACCGCCCTTAGTCGTTGGACGCGATTCACCAGAATATCTGGACCTAGGGGTTTCGTTAACATTGTGTACGTCAACAACGCGTAAGGATTTTTTACATAATGCCTCAAATCTTTGTTGTAGTGCGTCCACGCCGTCAATGTCGTTTGGTGGACGTCCGTGACGTACGCGAATACTTTGTGAAAGGTCTGACCTTTCTCGTGATTTTTAACGTACTCGAAAAATACTAAATCGCCGTAAACAGGATGAGCCTGCCTCTGTATGTCCTCTTTCGTGGACAGTACCTCGAGCATCAGATTGGTCAAATACACGTTCGAGGCCTTCATGTTCGTTTGGATGGAGTTCTCGACTATGGAGCACATCAACGTGGGCCTTCTGAAGTCTTGCTCGATGTTCTGGAATTCTTTGGTTATACCGTACCAAGTTTCCAGCAACAGTAGGGGCGATATCACGCTGCAATACTCGTCGTACGATTTGTAATGCGTCAACATAACGTGCAGCTCGTTGAGGGTCACAACGGGCGGCGTAGAATTTAGACGCTCTTGCTCCTCCAGCCAAACTGGATTCCAAGAGAAAATACGCAGCAGAAATTCGTGTATCTTCTCGTTTTCCATTACCCTTCTCGATGCTCTGATCGGAGGTAGAGGAGCATCCTTGCCTTTCAGCTTCTTCAGAACGTTCGTCTCCTCGATTTCGTATACCCGTACGGTTTGCAAGACTGTGGAGAACGATACTCGTTTCTTTTTTATCGGATCCTGCAAATTAGCGGTGGACGTGCAAGGCACAGACGATTTATCTTTATTTTCCGACAATTTCGCGACGGATTTCGGTCGTATTTTAAATCTATCCCTGTTAATTTCCATCGGTTCCTGCATCATTGTCACCAACGAGGAATCTTCGGTTGCCTCTCGCGGCGTGGTAACTGTTTCCTCCGGAGCTTTGCTACTCTTCTTTGGTATTTTCCCCAATTTATTCAGATCTATCAACGTCATCGACTGCATACGCATCGACAGTTTGTTGGTCGCGTTTTTACTTTTCTTGGACTCGGCCATCTTCGACTTAACCGAAGTCGAGGGTTTTTCGGGCAGTTCGGGCTTGGACGCTGAAATCGTGTCTTCCACGAGCAAGTCGCTTCGTGTCTTCAACGATACCTTCGCCTTTGGCTTCGTCACGACACGTTTCTTCTCTTTATTGCTCTCCAACGACAATCGTCTCTCCTCCATAGCGATTTGTTTCAATTTCTTCTTCCTGTCGTCCGCTAACGCCCTCTTTTCTTCTTTGGTAAGAGGCGTGCTTGTTTTAATTCTACCGGGCGGCAGGCACTCGGCCCACTTGTGAAGCTTCCTCCGGTATACTTGGTCTTTCGCGAACTCGTACTGTTCCAGTTTCGATTTTTCTTTCAATTCTTTCTTCTCCTTGGAAGACAGCCTTTGTTTCATGGGCTTCGGAAGAGTTTGTTGCGCTTTGCTCGCGCTACTGCTTCGCCTTCTCATAGGCATATGACCGGGTTCTATCTGAGGTACCTTCCTCTCTAACGATTTCTTCCTCGTCGGCGTCACGGGAGTTTCCATGCTTCGGTCCAACGAGAGACCTTTGTCCCTCGAAAATTTGAAAAATTTCTTATGAGTACTGCTGGAACATTCCACGCTCTTCGCAACCTCATCTCTGGAATCGATTACCGTTCTTTCTATGCACACACGCAACGAGCGCAACTCCTTCAAAGTGTCTTTTCCCTGTGCAGGCTTCTCCGATTCTTTGTCAACTTTACTTCTCGTATCTACATCCGTCTGCATTTTATTTACAGCCTCGTTAAAATCGTAAGCAGGCACCTCGATATCGACGTTACCCAATTCCAAGGCGTCCGTGTTCGAATTCGTATCCTCATTTTTAACTTCTATATTTTCGCTGTCGTCGTTAAGCGTTTGACTACGAGACAGTCGCCGTAACCAGTTATTGTCCTCGTCCTCGCTATCCGTTAGCGAGATAACTAAATCCTCGTCGTCCAGCCTCTTGAACCTCTCGCTGTCCGATTCAGCGGGTTCCTCTTTAACTTCGGGTTTTATCGACGTGTTCATACCGAAACCAATATCGAACAGCTGGGAACACGGGAATATATCACACTCGCTGTCGCTTAAATTTACAACATCGACCTCCGAAAACTGCGTTTTCGGCTCTTGCTGTACCATCTTCAATTTTATTGGAGATATCGTCTTAACAGGACACTTAGCTGCACTGTTCAAAATCGCCTCCTCGTCGTCGTCGGTTAACTGTATCTCGTTTTCCAGTTTTATCACCGCGTCTCCATTGCATATGAACTTCGAACCTAATGGAAGTACATATTCCGCTACGGCGCTTTCGGCGGTACCTTCGTTCGCATCGTGGTTCGATGTTACACTTTTATTTAAATTATTGCAAGTTTCGTTGAGGCTGTTCGAGACTTTTTCCGGGTCGCAATTTACATTTTTCGTTTTCCTTCTGGATCGAGTACTACCAACATTGTGACTATTCACCATGGGTTTCTGCACAGATTTCTGAACATCTTGAGCAATACTTTTGTTCGTTCGGTCCATAGTTTTAGAAGCAACGACAGAATTCTCTTTTCCTTTACCCCTATTATTCAGATTACTCGATACGAGTAATTGTACATTCTCAGAATTTACAGGTTTGTTGGATTCCTCCTTGTGCTTCGCTACCGACTGGATCTGTCTTGTATCCTGTACACTATTACTTATTTTCAACATATCGTTATCTGTATGTTTATTTACATCTACCATATTAAATTCGGCGTTTCTTGTGACGATGTCACAACTGTCATTAACGTGCTTCGATGCGCTATTGTTCAACGAAACGTGGATGACTTCGATATCGCTAACGTCTGAAATTCCAATGTCATCTCGTAAAGTACGCTTTCATAGATACGGCGAAGTAAATAATGACGGTAAAGTAATTACCTAAACTTTCCTCCTCTAAACTAGGGTTCGCGTCCTCCAATTTCGGTATCTTATTCGGTATTTCCTTCGTATCGCGATTCTCTCGTTCCCTCTTACGTTTAACCGTTGCATCGAATTTTTCATTCGACGTGTAGCTTTCAGGCACATTTTTAATATTCAATACAGTTTTCGAAAGAATACTCGCGTTGTTACTTTCTATCGTTTGTGGTTGCTAATGTTGTAACATGTAGGAAAAACCAATATGAATAGAGTTTAATTCATGAATAAAAGTTTAGCTACGCAAAGAATTATTCCTTAATGTCGTTAGATAGTCAACTGTTGTAAATTTTTACCGTTATTATGTGTAATTTGTACGCGAACATGGACTTATCATATGTATTTAACTGTGGGCAGCCAATCCCAATAATGTCATTCACGCGTAACTGAACTGTCTGAAGTGGCTGTTGGGCAACTCCGTTTATGAACAAACCATTAGCGCTCTAAAATAACGACAGACTGTTATAAACAATCTGTTGCATCTATATGCAAATATAATAAATACATTATAATGTTTGTGGTGTGAACATTGGTATACCTTCAGATCTGTGACGTACAGCCCATCTCTGTTGTGAAAAAAAATACAATGATGACGGGAAACTGTCAAGCTAAGACATACTATTTCATTGTCTTTAGCTCTACCGCAGGTATACTGAAAATAAATCCCTTTTATGAGAAGAAATGTTCTACTGTTGCAAAAAACTACGTGAAACGAACTTTCGAAGAATACATTAAAGAGTATCAGAGGACAAATAATAATTCTAGAGAAAGAACGTTTCAGCAGATATTATTTTCGTCGTAAAAATTACGAAAATAAACTTGGTACACGTACTGTATGGTATAATTTATCGAGGGAAATCCTGTCTGGAATATTAATTCGTTCCAGTACGAATCGACAATTAGTTTCAGTGGTCATTTTCCTAAAATAATCGGCTTGTTTAGAAATCTACTGTTTATTAACCTATCCCCTACTAATTCGAGTGCACTTCATGGAACTTTCTTTCGTCGTCTTCGATACGTACGAAACTTGACATATATTAGTTTACATATTGCTTAACGATATCATACTTTAGCGAAACTGTCATTCTAATCAGTCATTTTAAATAGATAAATATACTTTGAACAATTCATGAAAACTGTATCGAACACATGAGTTCACTGACGTTTACCGCTCTTTGCGATTCAATTTACACATTGAACATTTCTTGGTTAGGTTCGTGCCAGTAAACTTTGTAGCCATCTAATGGTTACGCGAGCTAACTATAATTTACACTAACCATACATGGCGTAATCGAGCTAGGGAATTATCTTCATGTGCCGCCATGTTGTTTGGCACCATGGTAATAGGACTATTTTTATGTGGTTTTTCTCACTTTACGGGATTAAGGAACAGCTTCTCGAACATTCTTAGAATTTCTAAATATTCTTCATCAAAATACGCGTTGTTTGCATTTTGAAAGATTAAAATCCTCCAATCCGTTCAGGAGTTATGATGTTTTAAAAATACGCATGAAAATTCGGGGAATCACATTATATTTTCGGTAAGGAAATTTTTACTCGAAAATGGTTAGGAATTCGGAGGTATGTCTATTCACCAAAAATGATTGTAATAGATCCCTACAACCGAAAATAATTTTTCCAGAACAATTTGAAAAATTTCACACAAGTATTATATTATATTTCACAAGTTCTATTGCCTCCATACATTACAAGACCACATTTGTCTTAAAATAAAATTAGAAATTGTCGACGAATCCATTCATTCCCCTCGTACGTGGACCTGGAGGATCTAGCCGTGGGGATCGAGTATGAATAATTATTATGTTACAATTTTTCTGTTTCGATCAATGTATAAGTACAGAATGTCCGATTAACATTTATTCTTTTATTTCCTAGCCTTGATATACACTCCTTCAAACTGGAACAAAATGTCGAAATCAAATTGTAAGGGGATCCTTGTAAGAAGGCCTTAATCTTCGACTTTTTGATGGTTTTAATGGGTCATCGGTTATTCGATGGTCAACAATAGTCAGCTTATGGTCATCGATGGTCAAAAGTGAGGTTGTTCTCAAGGTCAGCTGGCCAGTGAAGGGTCAGGAACAACCAAGAGGTAGAACCAATCGAAATAGTTCTGTAAATCAGCCGATCTTAACTGTTAACTTTGCCATTGGCTTTGACCCTGAGTCTCCCCACCCTTCGATCATTGTAGATAAGGCTCGCGTGGCCTCGCTGCTGAAGTCACCCTTCAGTCGCGTCGCGAATTCGGAAGTGTACACGCGGGCAGAGGGGTACTACCGAGGGATGCTGACCACTGGTGACCAGAACTGACCACTACTGACCAGTTCTGGCTAGCGCTCCTGCCACTACTGACCACTGCTGACCACTACTGACCAGTGCCGGACGGTGATGACCAACGGTAAGAACTGTTTAAAAATTCTCTCCCCTCTTCTATTCTATCGTTTGATACCAATTTCGCTCGAATGAACTGATTTTGCCTTGCTTGCCTAACTGCTGTTGCTATAATATGAATATTTTCTTACTTTACAGCTCGTCCAGTGGTAACTATCCTGTATACTGACAACAAGTAGTAAGTCCACTCCACTTATTTATATTTTATTATTTTTATTTTTTTGTTTGATGTGAATTCAACTGTATTTATCTATCTGATTTTATTTGGTTATTATGAATGTTCCTTTTCTATGTTTCTACTTTTACATTGTTTGTCGAATTTATGTGATTGCTTTGATGTGTATAGTATTGCAGGATATAATAATGTAGTATTGTTTTCAATCATATACTATATTCGTTTCAACACGATTTCATGAATTCTGATTTTCACCTTCTTGCTCGAATTCTCGTAATATTCTGCGGAGGTACTTTGTTTGATTCTTCCATTTCGTTTGATTGTTCGGTGTTGATTCAATTTGGTGTCTCGATCCAAGTTCCTATCGTTATTACGAATGGTCGTTTTGAGTTGTATCACAATGGGGCGATGATATACTGTACTCGTTTCGATGATACTGATCATTAGAAGAATGTTCGTTTTGATACGTAACATGGTGTCGATTGATATGCCATATTTGTTTCGACGACACTGATTAATATAAGATTTCTATTTTTACGTTTAGCCCCTTTAGCTAGGTGATAGAATATTTTTAAGTGTTTATTAAATTTCCTTACCATGTCTCACTAATATAAATATTAGTTTTGATTTCAGTTTAAATTTGGATTAATCGCAAGGACACCGAGGGAGAACGCCGCGTCCGCCGAGGGACTTTTAATTCCGAGTTGATTAGTCTTAAGCTTCGTCGCGAGTATTAAAATTAACGTCGAAGCCTTCTTTATTATACGTGTCTCCGCGTCCTACCAAGCAATTATTCAATAAGTAGATTGTCTCTCGCTCGTTCCCTCGTTCCTAGCTTCGGTCACCGCTGTTTCATCGATTGAAACATGTGATCGGCCGTGTAGCTGGCCCGACAGATCTAACCGCCTTCCCTTGGTAGCTCGATCCAGGGAAAATGGTACTCTGCTGGAAGGTGTGGAGTATCCGTATCCTGCGGAAACGCATACCTTCCAGCGGAAGTCGACACTGAAACAGAGGTACTCTCTCTTTGTCAGACAACTTGAGTCGGGTCCTTCGGGCTCCCGGCGGGTTGCGTTGGAGCAATGGAGACCTTAGATTCGGAGTCGCAGCCGTCCGTTATCCTGTAGAGATCTAGTTAGCAAGGGCAGTAGGTTCGATCCTCGGATCCGCTGCACGGTTCAGCTTCGCGTCGCGTCGCGTCTCGTCGCGTGTCCCTCAAATTAACTTCGTCCCTCTTTTTGACCAAATAATTGCTTGGTACAACTAAATCAGAACATCCAAGAATGTTCGTTTCCTTCTATCGTCCGAATTTTAGTTTTAACTTGACCAGACTTGAGCATTCGACGTTAATTTTAAGTCCCTATTGTACGCGTCTCCCAATATTGCCAAGTAATTATTTAACAACTAGCTTCTCTCGACTCGTTCTCCGGTTCCTAGCTTCGACCACCACTGTTTCATCGATCGAAACATGTGATCGGCCGTCCAGTTTGTCCGAAAGATCTAGTCGCCTACCCATGATAGATCGATTGCTAGAAATAGGAATCAATCTACCAAGGGCAGTGTTGATTCGATCCGAAGATCTGCTGCACGGTTCAGCATCGCGTCGCGTCGCGTATCCCATAATTTAGCTTCATCCCTTTTTAAACGAAATAATTACTTGGTAGCTAAGCTTAGCTAAAAGGGAGATCGATGGAACTTTGATTCCATCTATCTCCCTTCGGGTCTCCACTCGCAGCAACCTCCTCGTGGTGAGACCTGGTAATCGGTGTTACCCACGATAGAAAAGTTCTTCTTCGTGGGTACACCGAGCTAATGGCTGCGAATTTAAAATAGTTTATTGAGATATCAGAGAAAATTTTAACTCTGTAAGTTGTGTTAATTTTTGTGCATTGTTTCCACAGAAGATCACTGTCTATTAAATTAGAAGGACTTTCGAAACTCTCGAATCCCCCAGTTTAAGAAACGTATGGTCAGTTTCCCGTCTTCTCGAGGCCTATTGCTTTGTGGCTAAAGAACTCCTTAAGAAGACTTATTACTCGCGAAACATCAGATTTTATCGTGATTGATCGCCTACATTTACAATGATGTATGTTCGTCAAACTACAATGGCTTTTTAAACTCTCGAATACCTCGGGCTAGGAATGTGCAAGTGCAGTACTGCCAGTTCGTCTCCTATATGCAGCCGAATATACTAATTGAAGATTGATATTATTCAGAATCATCACATTTTAGAACCCTTACAATTGTAACAATGATTTTCTAAACCCTCCATAATCTTTTAGTATAGAATAATGGTTTTTTAAACTCTCTACTCTCTCAGGCTAAGGATGTATACTTTTCGAATATTTTCGGAATTTCTACATATTGTTCACTAAAGTACGCGTTGTTTGCATTTTTAAACATTAAAATCCTCCAACCCATTCAGAAGTTATGACATTTTAAAGATACGCATGACATTTCAGGGAAACATTTATGGTCAAGCTTTATGTTTTCGGTAAGGAATTTTTTTCTCGGAAATGGTTAGGATTTCGAGGGTACGTCTATTGACCAAAAATGATTGTAATTGACCTCTGCAACCGAAAATAATTTTTCCAGAACGATTTGAAATTTTTCTTTTTCGCCGCAAAATGTCTGTACCTAATATGCAGTACACGACTTTAAATGCATCTAACTTTTGATAAATTTAATTCCCACATTTAGATTTGTTATTTCTGATAAATCCTACCACTACGACACATCCCTGGCTGGCTAATCCTGTTTATATCCAGCTCGATCTCGTGGAACTTACTATGACTTAAGAATTATTACAGGATCTGCAGACATACAAGGGATAATACGCGAGAAACAACGTGCAAAGTATCGAACCGTCGGTGTGAGAAACTATTTTCTGTTTTTATGCTTTTTGGGATCACGAACTGCTCGACATTGCGAAAGAAGGACGACCAGTTTGAACGTAACGCCCGGCAGACTGTTCACTTTCGGTTTCGTCGATGGGAAAGGGATCCTCAGTGGGTGGGAGAAGCGGAGGGAGATCAGAAACGAACAGTAACGAAAGAACGATAATTGAGTGTCCCATATAGAGAAACGTATTGTTTTAACACAACATGACATCAATTATTCAATGATTAAAGTATGCTGAATTACGTTGGTGTTTTAATTGATCGAGACGACTCTCTCAGTCAATGTCCACTCGTGCAATCAAGAGATTCGTTATGAAAGTTTTAATTTCCTCTTTTAAATTGCTGGGTAAAATGATATCTGGTGCCGAAGTATAATAATTATATTTAATTATTATTTTTCCGCGGCATCTGACAAATTATGTTGGAAAGACATTTAGTTATCGTTCTTCCGTCCGAAACGTTGCCAGTCACGTAAGATTAACGATTCAGTTCCGTTTCAACTTCGTTTCTCCTCGACGTTATGTTCATCCTTTTGCTTTCTCGACAAATACTGACGTCCAAACCATTAAAAATGCATCATCTTTTTTTTTATTTAACTTCTCACACAAACCATCAATTTCTGTGGCGCGCATATGGCCGCATGATGGAGCTTTACGGGGGAGTGCTGGTCGACCGTAGGGGAACCCCACAAGTGAGGATCGCCACGCGGATACGGGGATTTTCGTGCGTGAATATTAATATCGAAACACTTGTATCACTTTCAATGTATGACTTATTGACACGAATAAACTACGCTCTATATTATTAACGGACCACAATTTCAAATCAACACATCAATCACATTTACTACTTAAGTTATGTTACGCGTTGAGTCGAGGGTGTTACCAACCTAATATTCAACTGTAATGGCACATTCTACCCAATAATCGTGGTATATCATACTTAACGAGTTCATTTTGATATAAGTTTATCAACGAACGCGTCATTAAATATCTTTTAAGTCAGAGATATACTAGATTACATTCGCTGAGAGTTAATTAAAAGACGTCAACAGTCTCGTATTCGAGCTCAATATCGCATTTTACCCAATAATCATGGTACGTTAAACGTTATGAAGTCGCCCCGTGAATAATCAGATCAACGTACATGCCATTAATCGGACGCTGCGCTATTAAACAGTGACACGATCGCCTTGGAAATTTCGAAAACCCGCAATCAAGCTCGTGACTGTTCGTACGAGTTTTTTTTTCGGACACAATTAGCGGGCTCGCGGCGCGTCGTTTCTCCAGGAACGCGGACTTAATGCGATCAATTCTGATTAAAACATCGGTCCACGTCCGTGAGTTGTGTTTTTTTTTTCGCGACGGTTACGAAAAGCGAATACGAAATCGATCGTTTGTTCCTGGAGGCTCGGAGTTAGCGAAATAAAAAGCATACAAAGCCGTACTCGGTGAGTTAGGGTACTCGTACGTTAACGTTGCGCAAGATTATCATCTCGATCGAAGGAACGGTTAAAACTCGATCGTCACTCCCTCGATCCGCTCGACCTTGTTACACATGGACGTTGAGCAAGATCGAACAGCGTCGAACATCGCCCAAAACAACACTGTCGAAGGCGGTTATGAGCATTATTCATACTTTACAGTCAACGTGCCGATACCCGTAATGAGAATATCCATGATCGCGGCGAGTAAATCATTTTCGATGCGCGTGCACTCGGTGCTCGATGATCCTTGACCGATTTCATCTGCATACGGGGTGACGCAGAAGTAGCTAGGCGGCTAATTGCCGAATAACTCCGGGCTTAATTGCGTAACCGGTTAATTGTAATTCGTAATTCTCGGTCGCCTTGTAATTTTTCACGGCGATAAAATTGACCCGTAAGAACTTGTTTAAGGCGAATGCGGGGTACAGTGCCAAGGCCCACGCTGGGCGGGCCCCTCGCGCGATCTCGCGACAAAAGAATATTGCACATTAAAATTTACTCCTTTGGTTAGACGGAAAGCAGTAAATTGATAGTTTTTTTTTTATTATTTGACCCTGGATTATTATCAGTGAAATAAACGCTGGTTACAGTGTCGGGGACCGCTCGGGTGGGCTCACTAAATAATTTAAAAAAAATGGTTGAGAAATCGGGCATTTTAAAATGAATTTATTACTCGCAGACCCGCCCCTAATAACCGTGACAGTTTATTTCGTACGTTTTGTGCAAAAAAGGACTGGACTCGATAATATATGTTCCACAACTCGACTCGAAACCCACGTTCACAACTACGTAAAAATTTCACGTCTTTCTGGTAGACTTTGCATCGCAAACAGGGCCGCTAAAATCGGCCTTTTTCGACGTCAAATTTTAGAAATTCGGTTCTTTCTAATTTCGTCGACGTGAAAAGATTTGTTCGACTCGTTGGTGCTTTTGTACGATTTATTTGCTGGAGAATTACGAATTATTCTTTATCGAAAAAATTTTTAACACGAATTAGGTAAAATTGCAGAATTTCGTGCAATCAGAAAACATTCTTTTCTCTTTTTTTCTTCGCGTGAACTCGGTGTTCGCGTAATGTCAGTGTCAACGCTCCGCGAGTGTTGAATTTTACACGGTCCGTACGAGCCAAACGCGACACGAATATCAATCAAATTCTAGAAGCGCATCGACCCAGTTGACTTCACTGTTTTCACTTTCGAGCGCCCATAATTCTTTGCCATTCAAAATTGTATAACGTCGGGTTATCGAAAGCCACATCTAAGTGCCGTGCTAAAAAAGTAGCGCGTTGACAGAACAAGAAATCAACTTTAATGGGCTCGCAATCAGAGTCGAGCATAGCCATTCGTTTCAGCGTGGTTCGATTTCTCTGAGATAAGAGGAGGAGAGCATACAGGAGTCTCGATTAGCTGTCAATGATGGGTCCATTCCATCGATTACGAAATAGATCAATTAACGAACCGCGTTACGATATTCGTGTTTGCCAGCTCCAGCGACGGAGCAAACTTTTGTCGAATTGAACACGTGGAGGAACGATGTAGATCGACCTAATTTTGATCGGCTTCGAGTCTTTGTTCGGATGGGAGGGATACCGGAACGACGATTTTGTGAGGTGGGGCCCCCGTTGGTACCACATCGCCGTATAAGTAAGGCCCGCTGCCACCGACAGAACACAGTCTTCCACCCCATCGTTGATTCGGCTTCTCGACCATCAAGGTAACCCAACTTCCAAAACCTATCGAAAATGTGGAATTAAAATTCTATTGAGAAAATTAACTTTGATGATCTAGTATGCATTAACTGTAAATCTCGAACTGTGCATAATTAGGAAGATTTCACTCTATAGCATCGAACAGTACCTCAAAAACCAAGTGTTTCAGATCTAAGTTTGCCCAAGTCTCTTTTCCTAGAATTCGAACTATAGCATGCCTTCAAATACATAGCAAAATTAATAGGTATATTATCGGTACAAATTGTGCGATAATTAGGAAGATTTTACTCTATAGCATCGAATAGTACCTCAAAAATCAAGTGCCTTCATAATCTCAGTCTAACCAAATGCATAGCAAAATTGGACACATTTTCGTTGACCACTGACGAATAAAAATTTTGAATGAACGTCCAAACGTTCCATTGTTTCCCAACTCTGATAAATAGTCGAAGCTAACTTTGAACGTTGTTGGACTTAATCCAGGATGCAATTTGGATTGATATTCGTGACGGTGGCAGCGGCGCTGCTGCAGAGTAGCCACTGCAGCCAAGTGTCCGTCCAGATGCCCTACTTGAGCCCAGCTGGAGTGACTTACATCAACAACGTGGACCCTCAAGGACTCACTTACTCGTTCCCTGCCAATTTGGAGGCTCGCCATGTCGGATACGCTCACGCCCAGGTGCCTGCAGTCGCCGCCGTGCCTTTCGTCAAGCACGTGCCGACTGTCTCCCATGTTCCGGTCACCAAGATCGAGGCACAGCCTGTCGTTCTCGAGAAACAGTTGGACGTAGTGAAACCGGCCGTGTCAACACGCAAATTCGAGGTGGGTGGTCTCTTCTTCGGGCGATAGGATCCTCCGCTAGTCGCCATTTTAGCTGAAATCAAACAGAGCAATACCTGAATCCTTTTGTTAAAATGGAAGGAACCTGTTAATCATTGCACTGACCTCTTAATAATGGACATTGATCCCTGCCAGGTACGCCGTCCAGCGATCCAAAAGCAATTCTACGACATCGAGGAGCGCGTGGTTGTCCGTCCAGCTGGATCAGCCGTGGTCGAATTAGATCAACCGACTTCGAAGATTCAGAGAGGACCAGCGCTGATCCAGCCTCTGTACCCGTATCAGTTGCAGCAGGCTGAAGGTGCCTACAGCTTTGGCCCCTCGACCATTGCCCCACAACTGTCCCCCTCTACCCCGAGCCCCAATGGCGGAGAAGAAGGCGTTGTCGTGGAGAATCCCGATTTCCGTAAATTCCAGGACCAGGTACCTTTTTCAATTCTTTTAGGAGAGATTATTTAACACTCTCAAATGGGTTCCCAGGTCGGAATTGTTCTGGTGTCTAAGTTACGAGGCAAAAACTCAGCCCTAGATAGATAAAACCGACGATTGCTTGTCCAGATCCGCATGTCCGGCCCCCAAGTGAGCACCAGCTCGAACGGAGCGCCCAACGAACCTTTCGTTGCCCATGACCCGTCACCCAGCGTGATCGTCAGCCCGCAGTCCTCGCCCGAGGAGGACAAGAACAACCAGAACAGACTCATCGAGCTGCTCACCGCGCGAGGCAACGTCGCTGAGGTGAATTACCAAATTACCATAAGGATAATCGACTCCTCGACGGTTCAGCGGACCATAACCCAACGCAAACATGTTCTCGTAGGTTGGATTCGGTCGCAATGGACTCTCGAGACCCGGACTGGAGGAGGCTGGACGCGTAAAAGGCCGTGTACTTTCCGCCACCCCCGCCCCCGACAACGTTGAACCCGCTGACGAGCGCGTCTCCACGCGTCGCGTCGTCCTCACCAGACCGATCGAGACCTTCCAGGAAGTAAATGTCGTGGAACCAGCGACGAAGATCGAGAGAGTCTCCGTGCAACATCCGACGCTCATCAAAACCACCCGTTTAGATCATGTTCAGGTTCACGGTTCCTACCCGGTCGTTGGAAAGGCGCTGACACCCACGCTGGCTCACGCCTCCATTCCTGTTTACCAGAAGACCCTCTCGCCAGCTTACGGATACTACCAATAAATCGACTCGCCCCTCCCTCCATTATTATTTTTCTATGCTGGTACAATACTATAAAAATAGTATAGAAATTTCGAAATTGCCATGTATCCCTAACGTTAGCCCTCGCTAGTTGGAGGTCACGTGTTCTGGTCACGTGACATCGATGTCCTAGCGTAATTCCTATATTTCTGAGAAATTTGCACCTTAGAATTGCAACTGCAATTGAAAACCTGTTCTTGCAACTATGGAAAACCATGTACTTGTGCCATCTTCGGAGAGTTTAGGCTCGTCAGTTTGCAATATTCGATGAATACAAGTTTAACACTCGCGCAAATGTCTGAGAAAAAGGAGAAAAATTAAATTTGTTTTATTGTTGGTCGTTGTAATTTTACTCTCGTAGGTGTACGAAATCTGACAATGTAATTGGTCGAGTGGAAATTTGTAATCGACAGCGTACGAAAATGTTTACCCCGTTGTAACTTTTGTACTTGCATAGATGAGTTTTGTACTGTGAAAGGTATTTATATAAAAAAAAAAAAATGGAAACTAAGTTATATGTTTGGTTATTTTCATTGAAAATCCTGCTTAGGAAGATTATTTATTGCCTGAGCGAAACGAGAATTAAATTTGCAATTGTTGGGGTCAATTATACTATATAAAACCCATAAGACTTCGCGTGAATCACGAAATTTACCTATCCCAGTTCGTCTACAAATTTTTAAACGCCCTGTATAGTAAAATATACTTTGTATTTACTGGTTAAAATTACTCTATACAAGCAAGGACGTTAGCCCAAGCCATGACTACTACTTCAAGCGATTATTCACTATACGAGAAAGGCGAATTAATGATTACGCGTGACGATGAAATCGAAATGAAATGTACGTTGAGTAATTACACGTTTGTCGTCGTTAATACGCGACATGAATCTTCAGTGGTCATTCGTGTAGTAAAAAAAAAGGCTGTATAAATTAAGCGTGTAATTGATTATGCGGAATACGAGACGAACACGGATGAGAAATATGAAGTTCCTTGTCTCAAGTGCACGGTCACGCATTCTTATATGCACAATCGCCTGTCTACAGCCTCTTTTTTACAGCGTCTTCCAATGAATTACGGCCATGCATTATTCACAATGGCAAAGAAAGTAACAACTTCCTGAAACAGGCGAGTCAATTCCGACAAGGGTAACCACTGCCTCCGGGCACAGCCTATAAGGACGTAACATTGACCCAAATACCACGGAGTATCCGTTCCCTTGTCTTATTTAACTGACTCAAACTGGTCCGAGTAACTTCAAAATACAATCTGAGCTCAGCTTGAATCGAATATTGCAATAATTTTCCTCCATTTTCGAAGTAACAGAACTAAAAAGAATTTCGTTATTTTGTCAAATATCTGTTTGGGATCACGAACTGCATACGATCGTGAATATGGTAGCAGTTTAACCTGGATCCGACTCACGGCGTAGAAACACGACTGCATACGCGCGACGCATAAACCGGAAAACCGTGGCTGACGAAAAAGTGCACGAGAACCTGCGTGGGCGGTTGAAACTCACCGTGCGATACGAAAGCACGTAACAGTTTAGTAAACCCTCGACGATTCGTTAAACGTTCGGGGTTAGGCCACGACACTACGGTATTATGTCGAAAAGATGTTCAAGACTTCATAGTATGTCGAAATCGCGAACCACCCCGCTTTCAAGTGAGTTTCACTTGAAAATTGTTATCTACCCCGCTTTCAAGTGACAATTCTTTTCACACAGGACTCGAGTAATTGATTAAAAATTAAAGTTGCTGTCTACCCCGCTTACAAGTTAAGAATCATTTCCATCAAATTCCAGATGAAAATCGCTACCTACCCCGCTTTCAAGTGACAATTCCTTTCACACAGGACTCGAGTAATTGATTAAAAATTAACGTTTGCTATCTACCCCGCTTACAAGTGAAGAATCATTTCCATCAAATTCCAGATGAAAATCGCTACCTACCCCGGTTTCAAGTGACAATTCTTTTCTCATTGGACTCGAGTAAATGATTAAAAATTAACGTTTGCTATCTACCCCGCTTACAAGTGAAGAATCATTTCCATAAAATTCCAGATGAAAATCGCTACCTACCCCGCTTTCAAGTGACAATTCTTTTCACATTGGACTCGAGTAAATGATTAAAAATTAAAGTTGCTGTCTACCCCGCTTACAAGTGAAGAATCATTTCACTCGTATTCGAGACAAGAATCGCTACCTACCCCGCTTTCAAGTGACAATTCTTTTCACATAGGACTCGAGTAATTAATTAAAAATTTACGTTTGCTATCTACCCCGCTTACAAGTGAAGAATCATTTCCATAAAATTCCAGATGAAAATCGCTACCTACCCCGCTTTCAAGTGACAATTCTTTTCACATTGGACTCGAGTAAATGATTAAAAATTAAAGTTGCTGTCTACCCCGCTTACAAGTGAAGAATCATTTCACTCGTATTCGAGACAAGAATCGCTACCTAACCCGCTTTCAAGCGAATCGAGGGAGACTTATAGCCAACGTTACGATGAATCGAAAGGAAGGATTGCGACGCACGAGGAACGAACAAAATTCCGATCACAACAGGCGGAGACGAAATACTTTTTTCCCCGGACACGTACGAACTTTACACCTATAAAATTTCACGGCGTGCGTTGACTCGCGCCGCGGCGAACTACTTTAAGAGCCACTTTTAAGAAATTCGTGGTGTCCCATCCGAACGTGAAAAGTGAAACGAGTTTCGGAATCCAGACGGAACGATTTACTGGCCCCTTACGTTTTATGGATCTTTAATGCAGCGCACTCTCGACTTTTAATACCGTTCGCGCAACAGCACTCAGGTGAAACGTAATCCGATCGATGGTCGGAGAATGTGGTTACTGAGTAATGGAGTTGGTGACTACGCTTATGGATAAATTGATTAGTAAAAGCAATCGTGATCGAAAGTTTGGGCAAAAGTGACATGGCTTCCTGGGAGGACAGATTGTGCAGCCATTTATTTGACCTTGCGGTGTCCTTGGTTTCCTTTTGCAAGCTTTTTCAAAGGACTGCACAGTCTGTCCCTCGAAACCATACTGTCCCTCGTACAATATTTACGTGGACCATTCTCTGAAATGGTACATCTTGTAAATATAATTTACAGGTAATTCACGAGCACACCGTATATTACCAACAATGCACGAATCGCTCTCGCTAGGTAATTCTAGTTACAACTATCAAATGATGCTTGACCCCAAACTCATGGACAGCAGCGTGTGTGTCACGCGTCTAGTATTATATTATACACTAATAACGTCGTTATACAAGGTGTTGCAAAACAGGGTTCCAGTCTTCGAAGCTATCACATATACCGAACAAGCATAATATTAAAATAATCGAAAACTAAACAAATTAAGCTCCTTTTTGCTACGCCAAGTGGCAAGGAAATCTTTACAAACTATTTTCCCTTAGGTTTCCTGGCGATCCAAGTTTTGGACCATTTTGTTTAACAGCCTGTAGTCGTGTAACCGCGAACCGGAACGAATAAAAGAATCGCCCAAGAGGGGAAGGTCACGGAATGAACTGACGGTAGTCGAACGAAGGGATCCTCACCCTTGAAACTGTTTTAAGGAGAAACAGTGGCCTTGCTCGGCAGTCGTAAGACCGACAGAAGGACCACAAGCTAGGCAATGACCAAGAAACGTCGAATGGTAAACCTCAGCACGAGAGCCGCCGACCAGCCGCTATATAAGTAACACTGTAACGGATCTCGAATTCAGTTAGACACGAACAAGAGCAATAACTAGATCCTTTCGAGTCGGGTTATCGAGTGACCGATAGGTGAGTGCTGGAAAAAGCGGAATTTCCCGACACACGAGTGATTTTACGTGGACGTGGATGGACCGCGATTGGGACACCGTGTATCCCGTGGATCGCGGAAGTTCGATGAACCGCGAGGACATTTCGCGAAAAAGCACGAAAGGATAATGTGTCGCATTGTACTACGCGAGAGAAAGTCGCTTTTGCGTTTGCAACCAACTTTTTGTTCTTGCACGGCATCGATTGAACCTCGTTTGCATAACTGCAGCGGGCTAGGATCACCGTCCAGTGAACATTTCGTTCGTTAGAAATACTTCGATTTATGGTTTTTAATATTCAGAGATTGTTTGTTTTTTGGGAAAGTGTGGTGTTCGACCACCCCTGGAAAAAATTTGAATGGGGGATTCTAGAACCCAAAATAAGACCAAATGCAAGAATATCAATTTATTGATGGAGGCTTTGTTAAAAAGTTATTAACGTCCACAGTTCCGACCGTAGTGAATTTTTTTCTCGAAAATGGGCAGGATTTCGGGGGTATGTATATTCACCAAAAATGATTGTAATTGACCCCCGCAAGCGAAAATAATTTTTCCAGAACGATTTGTATTTTTTTTTTTCCGTCGAAAAATTTCACACCTCGAATTTTTTTCTGAAAAGTGGGTAGGATTTCGGGGGTATGTATATTCACCAAAAATGATTGTAATTGACCCCCGCAAGCGAAAATAATTTTTCCAGAAAGATTTGAAATTTTTTTTCCATCGAGAAATTTCACACCTTCTCAAATTTTTTTCTCGAAAGTGGATAGGATTTCGGAGGTATGTATATTCACCAAAAATGATTATAATTGACCCCCGCAAGCGAAAATAATTTTTCCAGAACGATTTGAAATTTTTGAATTTAATTGTTAATAACTTTTTAACGAAGTCTCCATCAACAAATTGGTATTCTTGATTTTCGTCTTATCCTGGCCTCTAGAATCTTCCATTAAAATTTTTCCCAGGTGTGGCCGAACATATTATTAGTTGCGTGGTGATTCAAACGCTTGGTAAGAGCACGAATTGATTTATTTTCTACCCGGACTGTTATTTAATTTTTGGTGATGTATGGCAGCAATTGTACGTGAAGAACAAGCGGGTATCTCGAATAGATATCTTGACAATAATTCGCGCGAATTTTGCTTCAGTTTGCAATGTGGATAACGTGAATATTATAGTGAAATCAATGAACTTTGGTCTAATTTAAAAATAAAATAACGATTTTCTTAGGGTGCATCTAGCGATCGAAATAGGTATGCATAAAACCAAGGTTGAAATAGTGGTAAAAAGAGTCTTATCCTTTTCCAGAACCGTTATCGAAAGTAACATTTCAGAAGATGAATACGATTGTTTTGCTCGTCGCCATTGCGGGAATATGCACGGCTGCGCCACAATATTATCTTCCTTCCGGGGCCGTGTACCCGCATCCGGCTAATTTGCTAACCTCGGCGCTAGAAGACACTTTGCCCAACCACCTGCGGAACGATTTCTACAAAAATCCCAGAATCGCAGCCAGGCTCGCGCAGGAATCGTGGTTTATTAATAAAGAAATGCAGGTAAATTTTACCAACGTTGCACCAAGAAAAACTACTCTAATAATTTATATCGCGAAAATATTAATACCGCGTTCTTATTACAGGTAATCGATCGCGATACAGATAAAATTCCACGTGAAAAAATCTACAACGTTCTCCACAATGCAGGATTCGTGCAAAAATAAATATAGAATAATAAATAATTTTCGGCGTATCATCGATTTCATACAACTTGTACAGCAACCCTTTTATTGTTCCTTCATCTCCATGTTGATAGAACGAAGATACATTCACCGTAATTTATTTAATTTAATATTTATTACGTTTAAATAAATTTAGACACTGGACAATTATACGAACGAGTTACTGTAGTACATTTTTTAGTTGAATTGATTGTTAATGAATTAGGAAATACATTGTTTTCCAAAGTACAGAAGAGAAAGTACCAAATAATCATTTACCATAAACGGTCAATGCGATTAATTTGCAACAGTTACTCGAGTAAACTGTTATCTATTTAATAGAATCTTCTGTTCATGATTTAAAACTTTTTTAATTCGGATGAGAATTTTTCTCATCTCTGCACGACACACGTACACGTTCACATACACTCTACCAACAATAGTAAGTATTTCGGCTGGTCGCATCGGCCATTTTCTCTTTATATGTTTCGTGAGCCAAAAACCACGCATTCGATTAAATTTGATCACTTTAAATATATATACAAATAATAAATTGCCATGTTTGCATTCAGCACGCACGCAATACAATCACCATCGGCGGAAACATTAGACTCACAACACCACGTAACATTTCGTAATCCGTGCGACGAAGAAACGAACACGAATGTATCGTATTTCTAAAACTATTTGCCTCGGTTCTATTTGGAATCATAAATAAACGCGATGTCTCGGTACTTCCCCGTGCAATTAAATTAAATTTCTCAGTATTATGTATATTTAATGTAAAAAGATAGTTCGTAGGATTTCTAGAAAATTTGATCCTTTCATTTCCGTTCGGGCAATTTATGCTTTTCGAGGGATTTCAAAATGATGTCGACGATAGACATGTCCTCGCCCATTAGGTAACGTGATTTGTTTTTAATACCTTTAAACTCGTGCCCGTGCAACATGCTATGCACTTTTTCTAAATAATAATCTATTTGATTCGCGTATAATGCGCCATTGCTTTCGTATCGCAATATACGCGGATTGTAACTTTCGATCAATCGATTGAGATATCGAGCTATGTTTACCTCGCCTAGTATTTGGTGCATCCCCGGTAACCGCATTATCGGATCGATTCCAATTTGTTTCCAAATTATCGTCAGATCCAGATCGATATCCTGGTCATTGTTTCGATATTCCGAACAGAACGTTGCCAAATCGTTTGGCAAACGTTGAATGCTCGAGTGCGTGTGCGTCGACACAGAAATGCCAATGTAAGGTTTCATGTGGCCACAGAAAGATTCTATGAACCTGATTGGATAACTTGGGTTGCAAAATATCACTAGTTTCTGTTTATCGAATTTCCCTAGACGATCGACGTCGCAACGTTCATTTTCGCGCTCGTTCGATTCTTGCACTATCGATTTTTCTTTTTGGCCTTCGAGCTTTTGTCTTTGCAAAGAATTGTGGCTGGTCCTAACAGAGAAAAACATTTCGCACTAATTTTTTAACGCTCGAACAGCTTTCGAAACAACAGATCGTAAGCTAAATGTATAAACGTTTGCCTTATAAAAGTATTTCAATATAAATAAATACCTTAATAAGTTTAGAAAGATATTTACTTGTTTAAGCGACAAATAGGATTGTTATAAACCATTTCCATATCCACTTTCGATCCTACCAAATCTCGTATATTGTTTAATCCGTATTTAATCATAGTCGGCCTGTGACAAACATTACAATGTTTATACACAGAATTAATACACACGCGTTACGAAAAAAAAAAAGAAAACCAGTATTTGCCTTTGCCTTTACATACCTTTCTAGGGACAATCCCCATGCGATTACGTTCACATTGTCGGGTAATCCCATTGGTAACAACATTTCTGGCCTGAACATTCCACTGTTACCAATTTCTATCCACTTATTCAGGCCATTGTGGTAACAGAAAATTTCCATGCTCGGTTCGGTGTACGGATTATACGCGGGTTTGAACTCAAGTTGCGTAATACCGAGTTTTTTGAAAAATTCGTACAGTATTCCTATTAGATCGCCTAACGTAAGATTATAATCGGCGACTACACCTTCGATTTGGTGAAATTCCGCTAGATGCGTAGCATCCAGAGTTTCGTTACGAAATACTCGATCGATGCTAAAATATTTCACTGGTTTGAAACCACCCTGAAATGCATTTACAAATCGTCTCAATGCTATTCTTAGGGGGTAGCTATCCAGACTAGTTTTTAAGTACGAACGCTTAATTACCTCTTGTATAAGCTTGTAAAGCATTCTAGCGCTAACAGCGGTCGTATGAGTGCGAAGAAGGTTCTTCTGGGCTTCCTCTATTTTCCATTCATAACGATACCCCATAGACCCGTAACCCCCTTCGCTATGAACGCGTTTTACTTTCTCTAAATACTCCATTGGAAAATTTGTACTATGTAATGGCTCTAAAATGAACGTTAAATCTCATTTACCGCGATAATGGAGTAACGAGTACAATAAAATTATTAATGTAACTACCGGATACAAAAAAAGTATCATGGGCGTCTCTAGCCGGATGTTGTTGGGGTTGAAACAAAGCATCAAAGTTCCAGAATGAACTTTCCACGAAATTATTCGTGGGCATTTCTGTGAATCTAAATGATAAATAACAGAAAGTACTAGTAGAACAAGTACGAAGATAAATTTAAAATTCGATAAACATTTTTAACTTATATACCCCATTTCAAGGAAAATTTTTCTAAATTCATTTCTAACTTTCAAAAGAGGATGCAAGTGTCCTACTTCAAGAGCAGAGCCAAGCGCCGTAAAATTGTATGGTTTGAATTTTTTATTTTTCCAAGCACCGTTCACCAATAAATCTGCAGTCAATTCTGTTTCTAATTTTTCAACCTTTGTCAGAAAGTTTGGGCCTTTCCCCAACAGTATTGACTTAACAACCCTTTGGATAAAAAGATTACTTGTAAACACGATCGTAATTGTTTATATCTATCATGTGCAACTTACACTTCTTGAATGAGTTTCCTCTTCTTGTAGTCGCTTCTAAGACGATCAGTCAGGTTTGTTAGATCCTTCAAATGAATCTGCGTAATGTCCTCGATGGATGATACTTTCTTTTTTACAATGGCTGTTCCACTAGTTTTGTGAATTTCTATCCAGCCAGCCTGTAATGCTTTCGAGAATCCGACTTTAGCAAATGGTACGGATTGCATAATTTCGGACTGGGGTATACCATCATCGGGGATCGAATTATAAACTGCTGCTTCGTGGCTCCCATAGCTTACCACGTGTTGTCCTTCTGACGTTAATTCCCACTTTTTTGTGATCACGCTCTCAGCTGTGATCAACTGTAAAACAAACCATAAATTTCCACGTTAAAACACTACTTTTGAGGTTATGTGGACACGTAAACTTTCTGCAATTTATCTGGATATTTGTAATGTACGATTATTGAGAAATATTTTCATATAAGAGCTAGATTCCGACGAATATTTTTAATCATCGATTATTACCAAAATTTTAAGAACCATAAGAGACTTATTTCATTGAACTTACGTCGCCAATTGCTTCCAGACTTTTTATGGCTCCAATTATTTTCTGATGGTTTTCTTTAAAAACATCTGCCAGATCGAAAGAAGTTACTTCGCCGTACTTATCCAAATATTCCAAAATCTGGTCGGTCAATTGTTTTGTCATATTTAAAATAAGATTGCTTTCGAACGACACAACCGGCGAACAACCACGTGAACAATAATGACATAATAATAGTTAATATTTGACTCTTTATATATATATATTTCTTTTGAAACCCGTTCGTCGTCTAATATAATTATCTCTATCAAAATATTTCTCAAACAATAAAACATTACTAAAATTACTGAGCATTTTCTTTGTAATTAACGTACTCATATGTATCTATTATTATGCAAATCATTTTTACTAGAATTAAATTCGCAAACATAAATCATTCCAACATTCTCGAACAAATGTACTGGTTGCAAAAGTTTTTATTATTATAGTTTAAACTATTTAAAGGCAAATTTCTACTTGGCGGGTAATATTTACATGCAAACCGGAATTTAAACCGCATTTTAATGTACCTAACACAATGGGGGTTAACGAAAAATAAGTTACAAATAAATCGAAACTTTTTATTCGTTATTCGAAAAGAAAATCCCAATGCCAATACTATTAAGTTAATTAAGAACACGTTTCCGAATAAATATACACGGAAACTTGTTCATAACCGTTTTGTAACTGGGTTGATACAACCCAGACCTAACCCTACTCAGTAGTGTAATGCATTCTACTTTACAAATCAATTTACGAACGAAACCTAACATTCGTTACTCGTAAATAAAATCTACTCAACTCAGTCTACTACATGGTACTATCTTAATTGAAATACAATAAAATGTTTTCTTTATTGCTACATTATCCGTTAATTTACAGTAATTTCAGCCCCAGTTTATGATAAATAGAAGAGTTAAATTACCTAGATTGCATTTAATTAATTTGTTAGCCTTCTGTAAATACTTCGCGTGGATCAATCATCCTAAAAATCCTTGTAAGTACGTCGCCGCATCTACCTTCCATTTTGATGTTTGCAAGACCGTCCGCCCTAGTTTCACCGATATTCAATATGGCTATTGGTATTCCAATTTCATTAGCTTGCAACGCTATCCTATACCCGGAATATGTGGTCAACGTAGAACCCAGAACCAATAACGAGTCGGAATGTTTGACATTATATTTCACGCTTTCCACTATTTGACGCGGTACATTATCGCCGAAAAATATAATGTCGGGCTTCAAGATACCGCCGCATTCTTCGCACGGGGGAACAACAAATCCTTCCACTTGTTCCTGTTAAAATTTTCGTTCTTTAGATTTAAATTTAAACAAATTTACATTTTTCAAAGTATCAGACTGCCCTTCTATGTTCGCGTATTGCTTACATGTGATAGGTCTACATCCCCATCAGGTCTTATCATTTGACTAGATGCTGTTATATTTGGATTTAGCTTGTTTAAAATATTTTGAAACAAGTGTCTACATATTCGTCGATCGCAGTTAAGACACATTACTCTAAAAGCTGTCCCATGCAATTCTATGACTCTCCTACTACCTGCCTTTGCGTGCAAGTTATCCACATTTTGAGTGATGATGCATTTTATTTTATTTGCATCCTCTAATGTTTTCAATACTTTGTGAGTGTTATTTGGCTTAATGAAGGAAAACCTATAGAATCATTGTCTTTGTTACAGTTACATTCATCAACATTTGTCTGTATTTCCATTTTAAAAACTACAACCTTGGCCAACCTACATAATTCCTTGCCCAATAACGTTTTCGAATAGCATCACTTTTGCAAAAATCTTTGTAAAGTACCGGTCTACGACTGCTCTTTGCATAGAGCCCAACGCCCTCAGATCTATAATCAGGGAGACCACTTTCTGTAGAGATTCCTGCTCCTGTCAATATGCAAATGTCATTATGATTATTAATAAATTCTTTTAATTTTAGCAATTCTGCATCTTTTGCTTGTTTGCATTTTGGTACAAATGGAAGGTCTTTTTCGTACGTTCTAACTGTAAAAATAGTTTGAATAATTAAACTCTGATTACAATTAATATATAAACCTGAATTACTTACATAATATCGTAAGTGCTCCCATTTTACGAACAGTTCTACACATTCCTGCGTGAATGCTGTTCATTTTAAAAAATATAATTCTATTTAGAATATTTGCGCTAAAAATCCTATTCGATACTGTATAGGTAACAAAATGGTAAACTTTAGTCAGGAATAGTTGATCTCGACTTTCGTCATCTCATTTTGGATTCGTGACAATGAAGCCATATAACGATTCTTTCATTAAAATAATTATCCGATACATTTGACGCATGTATATAAATAAATCTATGTCGTATTATGCTACACGTGGCGATTATAGCTGCAATCAAGGTTTTTCTTCTCAAAAAACGTCTACAAATCTGAAATTCTTCAGATAATGAAAATATAGATTCAAGGATGAAAGGAACGTTCCTAAGCGAATATTTTAAACAATCAGTCGAATTAAACGATATAAATCTTATATTAAAACGATGACATCGTCATTGTAACATGAATTCGTGTCGATTAAGGGGAAAGTTACCAACAATTACTAAAGGTATTTTTTCACGTGGCTGTAACAAAAAAATGATAGTGTAGCAGTCTTTCGACTATTTTTATACAATTGAGTGTTATATTTTCATTTTAAAATGTGATAAAATAAATATTAGTAAATAACAAAACTATGCTAGTTCTAAATCAACAAAAAGTTCAAATGCCAATAGACACGAAAAAAGTGGCATTAATCGAACAACGAATAGATCGTAAGTTCGTTGAATTTTGAAATCGTTTTTGAGTTGTTTTCTCGATTCATCGTTGAAGAAATTTAAGTGTCATTGTTTCGTATAACTGAAAAATGAAAATCCCTAGTATTATATTGAATCTAAACGTTGTCGATACGATATAATTGGTATTTCAGAGTAGTCAAAGGCAAAGGCGTCAACGTGTTGGAAATATACGTTCTTCATATATCAAATCGTGACTGTAATTCTGTGAAATGGCTGCGATTAGTTTATTAAACCCGAAAGCCGAATTTGCGAGGGCCGCTCAGGCGTTGGCCGTGAATATTACGGCCGCAAAAGGAATTCAAGATGTGATGAAAACGAATCTAGGGCCGAAAGGCACGATGAAAATGTATGTACACTTCTTCTCACGTGCAGACTTTCATAATTGTTTATACAAATTGACCGATTAAACGTAAAGAGAAAGATTAAAATGCGCGGAATTGTGAACGGTATTTTTTTGTTAATCGTTTCGTGTAAAAATCAGTTCGTACGACGCTCGAAAATTTGTGACTTATTATCCATATTAGGTAAGGTTGGGCTAGGCGAAGTACCGGTATTACGATGCGATCGGGAAACGAGAATTTTCGATTATCGTTTCCGGTTTTTTCGTATTAATAATTGAGAACTTATAATTTGACGATGTAATAATTATTTTCACGATTAATTATCGTTCGAAATAAAGAATTACAAATTACTCTGTTAACTGATTCGTTTAAAGGTTGGTCTCTGGAGCAGGTGACATAAAAATTACAAAAGATGGAAACATACTATTGCACGAAATGCAAATACAGCATCCAACTGCATCTCTGATTGCCAGAGCATCTACTGCTCAAGATGATATTACCGGAGATGGTACAACCAGTACTGTATTAGTCATTGGGGAACTTCTTAAGCAAGCAGACATTTATATATCCGAGGGTCTTCATCCTAGAATACTTACAGAAGGTTTTGATTTAGCCAGAATTAAAACTTTGGAAGTACTGGACTCCATGAAAATTCCAATTGAACCTACTAAAGAGAGTCTGCTTAATGTTGCTAGAACTTCTCTTAGAACCAAGGTTCATTCCTCTATAGCTGATAAATTGGCAGAAATCTGTGTGGATGCTGTCTTGACTATCAGGCAAGGGACTCAAGATATTGATCTGCACATGGTTGAGCTTATGGAAATGCAACACAGAACAGCAGCAGACTCAACTTTAGTTCGTGGTATTGTAACAGATCATGGATCCAGACATCCAGACATGCCTAAAAAAGTTACAAATGCCTATATTTTAACATGCAATGTCAGCTTGGAGTATGAAAAGAGCGAGGTGAATACAAATTGAGAAAAAAATATATTCATGTTTTATGAATTATTTTCAAATTTAAAAATTTCTAACATTCACGAATCTAGGTAAACAGTGGTTTCTTCTATAAAACCGCCGAAGAACGGGAAAAGCTCGTGGGGGCCGAGCGTCAATTTATCGACAAACGAGTAAAGAAAATAATCGAATTGAAAAAGAAACTGTGCGACGGAACGGACAAATCGTTCGTCATTATAAATCAGAAGGGCATCGATCCGCCATCCTTGGACATGCTCGCCAAAGAAAACATCCTCGCTTTGCGCAGAGCGAAACGTAGAAATATGGAGCGTTTGGCTCTGGCGTGCGGTGGAACGGCTATGAATTCGTTCGACGATTTGCAAGAAGAACATTTAGGATGGGCGGGACTCGTATACGAACACGTATTGGTAAAAATCTACTCGATATAATGAAAACGTTCAGACAACAAATTATCGTGTAAGATAAGAAATATATATTTTGTTATTTCGTAATAGGGAGAAACAAAATATACGTTCATAGAAGAATGCAAGAAACCAAATTCAGTGACCATTCTCTTGAAGGTAAAACTGCTTGTGAATTATGCTTTTCAATTTACTCGCCAATTTTTAATTCAATTTTCTCGCCAATTATTAGGGACCGCAGAAACACATTTTGGAGCAATTGAAAGATGCCGTTCGAGATGGTCTTAGAGCTATCAAGAATGCTATCGACGATGGCGCGGTTATTGCCGGTGCTGGTGCTTTCGAAGTGGCCGCCAGCAAGGCACTTAAACAGTACGAAGAAAAAGTTAAAGGAAAACAACGGTTGGGCGTGAAAGCATACGCGGAAGCTTTGCTTGTAATTCCAAAAATTCTTGGTAAACAAAATATTTCATTGGCAATTTCTAGCAGCTATTGAAATTATTGTTCGTACGTTTGATCGTATTTGATTTTGTCGATTCAGCTGTGAATAGCGGATTCGATGCGCAAGACACGATTGTTAAATTATTCGAGGAAGCGGCTGCATTGCAAGAACCAGTAGGATTAGATGTTTCGACGGGTGAAGTATTGAAACCCGCAGACGCAGGCATTTATGACAATTATAACGTGAAGAAACAAATAATTAACTCCTGGTGAGTGGCACACGATTAGATCATTGAATGCATACAGTTCTAATTTGTTAATGTTATTGGTACTGAAATATTAATCTTTCATTTACAGTACGATCATCGCCAGCAATCTGCTTTTGGTCGATGAAATAATGAAAGCAGGATTATCGTCTCTGAAAGGGTAAACCCGCTAACAAGTATTCGTTGATTAAAAATATATTTTTGGGAACTTCAAGTTACTTTGTGTAATTTAAATGTCACGTTTGCACGATTTTTAATCGAAACTTCCGCATAATTCGAACATTTTTTTTTATTGCTTTCAATTAACGCAAAAGAACTGCACAGAATAACAAATAAAGCGCTACTTTTAAATTTAAGAAAGAAGAGAAACATGGTGAATATCTATTTTTTTTGTTAATCGTATGAACTTCTCATTTATGATTAGAGAGCGAAACACGATATCTAAACGTAAAAGATGTTCGCCTCGTACATAAACTTTGTACAATGATTTAAATAAAAAAAACCTTAAAATAATTGAATAACCTTTCTTTTTTAAATAATACACGCTTAAACTAAACTTCGATTTACCTTTCTAAGAAACTCTTTAACGCGACAGGCCACCATTATTAGAAAGAACTACGATTAGAAATGACGATTAGTTTTCTTATAAAAATCAAAAATATTTATGTGAAATTTTATGTTACACGATATTTACAATTGTCTACAAACTAAATAATAGTCTATCATAACTTATAGGACGCACTTCAGTCTTGTTTTTTTTCTTTCATACAAATCTTTTTTTTTTTTCCTGATCATTTCATATCATACTTGATACCAACGGATTCACTTTAAGATATGCGACGAAAAGTAAGTTTTATACGTTTTACGATGCAAGTGTTAATATGCGAGCAGAGAACTCGACGTGGCATACTTTCAACAAAATTTTCTGACATTTGAAGTACGAAAACGTTCGTGAATATTATTACTAATTAGCATTATTGAAGATACAACGTTCAAGTAGCTATATCACGTACGTTTCGTAATATGGCGTAACTCCGCCTATATTACGATTTAATTACTAATCATTTTTCTGCATCAATAAGTAAAGAACTTTACACGTTAACATTTAAATCACAGACGCTGTACGCGCACGTTTTTACTCTTAAAAAATTCTTATCCTGCACGATACGGTACACGTGTTTGGTTTCGATCTCACCTAAGCTGACACAAACAGTTTCCCCTTATTAAATCATTTAACAAATATTCCAAGCTAAAACTTGTAAATTTTCCAACGTTTACGTGTAAGTACTTATTCGAAAGTAATACTATTACAATGTCATGAACCATAAAATAAGAATGTACAATCTATACACCCATGAAACTTTTACATATTCCAAAATAAATAAATTTAGTATTTATCTTTGCCACTCGTCTAACTAGCGAATATCACCTACCTTTATAAATATTTACAATCTCCATGCTACTAATTACTGTTTTGATTTTAAACGTTGCGTATCGTCTTAATTACTTTTCACCGGCTCATAACATGGCATGACATATACGAGTCCGTATCGATAATTCTTTCAGAGGATTTTTGAGGTTATGCTGAAGTAAAATATAAGTAAATCGTTGAATATAACCAACCACGGCGTGTCCTTACGCGTATTATTTCCGTTACGACACTGCGATATCAAATAATGAATTTGATAAAAATTCGTTAAAACAGTGTCTAAACGTAACGTAGAAAAGCATACAGGGAAACTGCCACCCCTGGGAAAAATTTTAATGTGAGATTCTAGAGAAGCGTCCTACAGGCGGAACTTTAAACGTTAATAACTTTTTAACGAAGCCTCGATCAACAAATTGGTATTCTTGATTTTCGTCTTATTTTGGCCCCTAGAATCGGCCATTAAAATTTTTCCCAGGAGTGGCCGAACATCCTGTATAATACCATGTGTTACTTTGGTTACCATTAATCGTTATACTATTTATGGTCACACAATAAATAATCTTAATATACCTTAATCCTTTCGTGCCCATGGCATTGTGGTCCGATACAGCAGAACGAGTCTGTCCCGTCACGAAATCTAATTTATTAAAATCAACACGTTTTCACGTTCGCGAGGTATTTCATAAAACAGATGTGTCCTTCTTTTTAAATCGTACGTTAAGGGGTTAAAGAAATACAAATAGCTGTATTTATGCCGAGGCACGAAGGGATTAAATGAAACTCTTACTAAAATGTAAATTCCCACGACACGAAATAAAAGCGCCACCTCCGTTTCCACTTTCGGTTCATTATTTCGCCTTCTTAACTTTCGCGATATATTCGATATTGTATTTCAAGTCTTTTAATATAATTTTCGGTTCGATGTTTATCAACCGCGCGAGGGTGGTGCAGTTCACTTTCATCCGATGTCCACCGACCACCATGTACGTATTTAACTTCCCCAAGTTGACGTTAGTTTTGGGAGTCCCGTAATACGAGAATTGTTTGCTCGTCGGTGACTCTTGTTTATCGCTTACCTTGGCCTGCGAAAGATACCTCGAATACGGATTGGTACTTTTTCGCGCGACCGCTTTTATTTTAACGGGAATCGGGCTTGGACAAACAACGGACTTCGTCGTGGACTTTTTCGCCACCGCGTGAATCCGTTGCGTGTCGAAGATCCCTTTCCGCTCGGTGGGGATCTGCTCCAACTTCTGCCACTTAACTTTCCCCATGATTTTCTCCATCAACGCCTCGTAATTGTGTATACTTTCGATTTTCAGTTCCATGTTTGGATGCTTCTCGGCGTTGTGCGACGACACCTGCGTCGGCGAACCGAACGTTTTCTCGCAATATTTACACTTGAATAGATTTATGTGTCTCGACACATGGTTCTTCATCACGTTGATGAAAGTCGTGGCGAACAAACACTCGGGACAAACGTATCCCTTAGGCACTTTGCTCTTCTCCTGTTTCTTGAAGTTCAACGGCAGATGCGAGTGGAACATGCTGTGATGATTCTTCATTTTCACCTCGCTGTCGCATAGCTCGTTGCACCACTGACAGATCCAACCTTCTTGCTTGATGCCGAGCGTGTCGATCACTTGCACGTCGTTATGGGTCTCCTGTAAATACAGTTCGTACGGAGTTTCCACTTCCGTTTTCGAGCACTGAGCTGTCGCGGCCGTGTCATCCGGCGAACGCATTTCCTTGTACCTAAAGGGACAATTTGATTTCATTTTGGAACTGTCGCCGGGCAATTTCGGTTCTTTGTGGACCGTGCTCCAATGATTCTGAACCGCTTCCAAAGTGCTGCTGCGGAACGAACAATAGAAGCAACGCAAAATCAATTGATCGTCCTTCGCGTCGGACACCTGTTCTTCCTCTATATCGTCGCTGTAATCGTCGTCGACGAGGTTCTTCTTATCTAATTGCGTCGTCCCGGAATCGCCGGGCGAGTCAAGCGGCGTCGTCGTATCGTCGGTTTTGAACGACAAGAACGGATGTTCGGTTTCCCAGTGTTTGTAAAGTTCGGATTTCTTTAACGTGGAGTAAGAACACGATGAGCACTTCAACGTTGGTTTCTGTCTGTGCACTCTCATGTGCCCTTTGAGGCCGGCCAGATTCATGGCGATAAAGCCACAGAAGGTGCATTTCCCTTTCTCGGTCTGCTCGTGATTGTCGTTGTCCGTGTTGTCTTCGCTCAATCTTCTCTTGCGTTTCTTGGACCGTTTTGGGAACACGATTCCGTACTCCCGTTCCCAAAACTGGTCCGTCAATTCTGGCCCGCTGACGGATGGATTTGGTACGAGCTTCTCGGGGCAACCGGGATGCTTGGACCGGATATGTTGGCGGATCAACGCTTCCGAGTTTGTGCTTCGATCGCAGTAAGGACAAACGTATCCTAGCCGCTTCAAATGAGTTAACAGCACGTGCAACTTGAATCCGCGCCATCGGGTGAACGTCAAATTGCAATGCTTACAGACTAACATGGTTGGCTTCTCTCGACCCTCCTTAGACTCGGCTACATCGAACACAATAATCAATCGTTACTAACAGTTTCAATTAGATTGGTTTATTTGCCAGTTAAGCGGGTTTAAATAATTTATTAATAATTCAAAGATACATTTCGAGCCTTTGATAGCAGGCCAGTTACCTTTATCAGATTCTGTCGCGTTCTCGGTCTTCTCCTGCTTCAATGGAATCTCATCCATATCCATAATAAGCCCTTCGTTGTCTTTGCTACTATCGTCTAAGGCATCAACATCGACATCGGCGTCTTGCGTTTTATTATCTTTCATAGTAGAAGACTTATTGACGAGGCTCGAGGTCTTCGAAGATTTTCTAATACTATTTTGATAAGTTTTAGAGGCAGACGTTTTGCTATTATTGCTAATCGCAGTAGCCGTTGCTGGAGTATCCGTGCTACTTGTGTTTTCTGTAGGCGGCAATCCTTTTATTATACGCGTTTGTCTTGACAATAATGTACCAACCTGTATTGAAAGTATCAACAACAAATACGTCACGATGTTAATACCGTTCGTATTATAGAACGTTTGGGGACACCAAATGTTTAAATAAATTTAAATGTACACTGCCCCTCGACATTTGATAAAACATAACTTAAATTATTATTTCTAAAGAGCTGCTAATTTTAAGATCAAAAACACGACTACGTTCTTTCAGTAAATAAAAATAAATATTTATTGTACCAGACACACGATCAAATACGTTTGAGTGGTAGAATATGCGTACCCAATTTTCAATATCATCGTCCGGAGATAATGGTTCGTGATTTGGACGTTCCCCGTTATGGTGTTTCGTAAAGTGTTTTAACAAAGTATTCCGATTTACAGACAAATATCCACAGTCCTTACAGTGCCACCTGAAATATCGCCAAAACATTCTCTCCTATTTTATTCTACTTATTATTTAGTTCTTGCAAGGCAAAGGTTCCAAATTTTTGTCTGCCTTTAATTGTATCGTTATGTACAGTAAAGAGATAAAATAAATTGAAAAAGAAATACACAGGTATCGCTTTCGCGAATACAACTCTGTAAATACCCACCTTGCATAATTTAGTTCTCTGTAAAGATGATCTCTCATGTCGTGTTTGTATTTACTTTTAAATTGCACGCACAGAGTGCAAACGTACATATTACCATCAGGTTTCCCATACGGGCCAAACCTACCGACATCCGAATCGCTGAGATCATTGTCTTCGACTACTTTAACTTTCGTTTCTTTCGCTTTATCGGCGGTGTTGGACGTTTCACAGGAGATATCCGATTCGACTGCTACTTTGTCGCAAGACAATGATCGTTTGTATTTCTCTTTCGTTTGTTTCGCATCGTCCAACGAGCCCGATTTCCCAGGCTTTATTTTCGCAGGTTTTACCACTGGCTCCGCGTCGCTTTTCCGCTTCACTGCTTTCAACGAGGACTCTGTGGACGTTTCGTCTTCTTCTTCCAGAAGAATTCCACGTATGTGCCTGATTCTAGGCATGTCCCTTCTCCAAAGCGGAGTAGTGTCGAAAGGTTCTTCTTGCCCACTCTGTTCGATATTGTCACCGGTCTTCTTATTCACGCCCTTTATCCTTTGGTATACCAAAATAAAATCGACGTTTGTATCGTTGGAATGTTTGTTATTAATGTGTTGCTCGAACATGATTTTTCCACTGGATTTGAAGGAGCATAAAGTACACTTGTACTGACATTTTTCTTCGTGAGACGTTGCGGCGTGATTCATCATTTCTGCTTTATATACACATTTGTGTTCACAGATATTACACTTCCAATGGTTTCCATCCGGGTCCGGCAGTTCCTCGTCGAATTCTTCTTGCATCGCCTGATTGTTCTCCGTGTTCTCCAACTCCCTAATTACTTTAACGAAAGGTCTTTTCTCGGGATGTTTATCTGCCAAGTGCCTTTCCACGATATGCCTAATCAACGGTTTGTTACTATTAGACAGCATAGAAAACGAACAAAAGGGGATTTGAATTCGTTAAACATCTGACAAGCATATTAATATACAGTGGCGGATCTACACTAATCGAAGCCTGAAGCTTACTTCGAAGGACGTTGGTTTTATGGTAGATCCACCCTTGATTAAATTTGTATTTCATATACTTGTCAAATGTTTAATATACTGTTCGAATAAATTGTTTTTCAAGACAGAACTAGTCCGGGGAACCCAGAAAAAAAGTTGCAGAAAAAAAAATGCACTGTGCATCGGAGTTTCGGGACAAAGTCCCAAACCCAAACACGGTTCAGTTTGTGCAACGTTGTTTGCACACAAGGTATAAATATCACTGTGTACCTATGGTAATGATGGTGATTGCAATGAGAACATTTATAAAGTCTCGTGTCGTGCATTTTCAAGTGAACAGCCATTTTATCGATTGCTATGTTTAATCCTTCTTGGCCCGGTGGTGGTTGTGGACAGTGGGGGCATCGAAAGTACAGTTCTTCGGAATGCAAAGCTTTTAAATGACACCTTAACATTGCTTCGTCGACAGTTAAATAATTGCATTCAGCCACACCGCACACGTATCTATTGCAAGGAAAAGGTTGTTGCATCGTTAAATTCACTGTGCAAGTGTGACCGACGAAAAAATAACACTTAAATTCTTTCGTGTACAACAGAAATACACTTCCACTGTTGCATACACATTGCTGATTGTTGCTATATTAAATATACACGAGTACTTACCTTTTATGCTCCGGCACGAATTTTGGGATAAATTGATCGTCGTTGTTTTTAGTAGCTTCCTTGTGTTTTCCACCCATTCGTCCATTTTGATGAGAACTGCTTGCTAAATTCACCATTTTGTCGAACATTCGTTCCTTTTTATCTAAGCAAGGCACAGGGTTCACAGGACCGCTCTCCGGTACACTTTCGTCCTTCGCGTGCAGAAGCAAATGTCTGATTATGTTTGTTCGAACTTTCGTAGTGTACGGGCACATGGCGCATTGCACCACCCGATTGTATATCGCTTGACGCGGTAGGAATTCTATTTCGTCGGGGTTGAAGGACAGTTTCTCGGCATCGACCGCTGTTTTCTCGCTTTCCTTCTCCACAGACTTTGTGCTTTTACGTTTCTTTCCTTTTCGTTCGCCGCTTTGGTACTGTATGGAGATCAAATAATTCCAAAGAAATAATTACATGCTAGGTACATGCACCAGCTACAGTAAAATCTCAATAGTTGCAGTTAGATTGGCTTAAAATTTAAACTGAATCTTTGGAACTAATCTGGTGACTTTATCGCCGGAATTAGAGATATCAATGACATAAACTATAACGATCGAGGTTCTACTGTGCTTTTGTAAAAACAAACTTACACTTACAACGGGTTGTACGATAAATAAACCATCAACGGAGGGATTTTTTGGATCCGCCGGGACTAATTTACTATTGGCAACTTTGTGTTTCGTTTTCATATGCGCCATCGCCTGGTAGCCCACTGTGCGTCTCACTTTGCACAACGCGCAGCCAAAACGTTTCAGTCCGTGTACTTTCAAATGTTCAAGTAAAAATCCAATTTTAACGAAACGTTTGTGACAGTGGACGCAATTCAAATGCTTATTGTCGTTACCCATAGGGCAATCTCTCGTGTGAGATCTTAAAAGGACCGCGGTCGGTGCGCCGTAGTTGCAGTGCTCGTAACCGCATCTGTACAATTTCGTTCCTGTGAAACCAGTATGTTTGATATCATCCAGCGTTAACGGTCTTTCGGTTTTCATAGTTATACTGCTGGACGTTTCTTTAATCACGGTGGATTCTTTCGACTGTTTCGCGCTACTGGCAGATTTTTCTTTCTTCACAATTTCCTGACCAGAAGTATCCACCTTCGTTTCCGTCTTTGTTTCCGTCTTCGTGTCGAAACTATCCTTTTTCTTCGTGTCGAACAGACTTTTCACATCTTTCGTGGCGATGGTTTCTGAATTTATGATATCCACGATCTCGATGTCGCTGTCCTCAGCTTTGCTGTCGTTCTCGGTTGCGTTGCTGATCAAAGACACGTTGCTCGAACGGCTGTTGACGTTCATCAGAAAATCAGGATTGTCGAGTAGATTTATGTTTATAAACTCGTCGCTACAGTCGAAAGCTCCCGCCGGAAGTTCCAGCGGCTCGACAGAGTTGTCCAACAAATCATTATCCGCTGTCTCATTGTCCAAGATCGATCTCATCGAAATATCGGGATCGCCTTTGGCACTGTTTAACGACTTACTCGCCGCGATCTCGTCGCGATTTTTCTCCGCAGACGTATTCTCGTTTTGAGCGGAACTGGTGCTGACTGGACTATTATTTGTATTACTATTACTTCCGAATAAACTCGACAGCGATTTATTTAATGCTTCGTTCTCGTCTTTATCCAACATATTCAGGTCTTTAGGCATCTTCGAATACTGCGTCTTACGAGCAGCGTCCACGCTACCGCATACAACCAAGTCTTTAACGTCCTTTTCATCGTTAATTACTTTCACATCGACTTCTTCGGAAACCTTCCAAGAATCGTCCAGTGTCCGAAGAATTAGTTGATCTATTACATCTTTGTTCCGTTGCGCCTGAAACGCGAAGTTCAAAACAACGATAAAGAACCAAAAATCATCTAGTTCCACGGCAATAACCTTTGGTCGGTCATTTGCTGGAAGAATTTAATTATTATTCTATGAAATTTTGTTCACCTGAGGAGGAAGAGATCGTTCGAGGGCTTGAGGTAATCGATTGCAATGAAACGAGCTCAAATGTGTATGCATGTCGAGCAAATTGTCTGCACCGTTCAAGCAATAAAGACACTGGTACTTGTAAAATGCGTGCAACTTGTAGTGCTAGAAACAACCAGTCGTTTCGTTAAAATCAAACAGAAAATAAATCGTTTGGCGATCGATAAATAATTAGTCAAAAGTTATTTACCGCGAGTAGCTGGTCACTTTTTACGAACGAAGAACGGCACACGTGACATTTAACGGAGGAGTGCGGTTGCCCGTGTTTCGATTTTATATGTCCAATGAAGGTTTCAGGGACATAAAAGAACTTCCCACAGTCTGCAAAAATGTTTCATACAACCTTAAAAATAACCTATTTCCGTTAAACACTGATATCATGTTTTTTAAATAGCATCGTGTATTTTTCTTTTCATATTCACAAACTACATAAAAATACTACGTAAAAATGTCTGATCCAAGAATAATGTGATGTTCGAAGTATAATGTACGAATTGGTCGTCAAAACGTAACGTCGACATATTCAGACAGAAATATGAACAAACGAATGTGTTCCCTTGGCAATACTTATTAGTTCCATTTTGACGGTTTTATAGTATTTAAAATATTATGTATCGGTCCCTAAATTTAATGTGTTAAATATCGTGACGTTATAATGCATATACGTGCCCTGAAATATTCCCCAAACTATAAATTGTCTAATGTATGGATGAGTGATATTATAAAAAATCATACCATGTTTGCATATGTAGGGGTGTATGTAATCGTGCCTGTTTATTTCTTCCTTCGCCGGCACCTCTTTCAGTAATTTGCCAAGCAAAATATCGTGGAGACCAGGGTGTGAAATGGCCTGTAAACGAAGGAAAAATACATTGTGGTATTTACTGTTGTAACGTTACTAATACAGAAATTGTATTATAAAGTATATAACCCTTTACCTGATGTATTTGCACGTAAGCAAGCGTGATGGCCCTGTAAAAGCAGTAACTGCATTGGTAACGACAGTGGGCGTGCTTGTCATCTATGTGGAGCTTCATTTGATTCCAATCCTTCAGCGCCATGTAACAGTAAGCACACTTTTGGTAATCAAACGGTGGTTGCTTGGTTTTGTCATTCGAGGCCACATGTTGGTAATAATGCTGACGATATTGCTCCAACGTATCCGTCGTGAAGGAACAATCGCGTCCCATACACTTGTACAAGTGAGTGAGCTTAGTCGGTTTCAGCATCGCGTTGTAGGCGTCCATGGATTTTAGCTTAATTGCGGTGGGCGGGGTCACAGGATCTTTCGATTTCAGGACATTCGGTGCTCGAACGACTTTCACGATTTTGTAGTTTAAGTTGGACGACGACGATCCACTGACAGTGACGGTGCGCGTTGTCACCGGTGTCATGACCGTGGTCTTGCCAGTCAATGGGAAAGGTATCTTCGATTTGGGGGCAATTGGAATGAAATTTGTGGCGATCTGCGTGGCGGTCACGGAAACTGGAGAAGGAGAGATACTCTTCACCGGAATCAGCTTCACCATTTCTGACGCAGAGGACTGTATCGTTTGCATAGTCTTTGATAACGGTTGCGTAATCGTCACGGCGTTTAGCCTTTTCAAAATCAACGGTGAATGAGATTTCTTTAATACAGACACTGCTTTACCCTTCATCGGAGAAGTTTCAACCGCTTTTCTTATATCGTTTATCTGTAAGGAAGAGAAAGGTAAATCCTCTTAGCGTAAAAACCCCCCAAAGTACAATACAGTTTCGAGAATCGTGACTTACAATAGGACTTTCGTTGGCATTGTCAGCAGTTGGCGCAAGACTAACTACGTTTTCGATTCTCAAGAACGAGCATTCTTCTTCTCCGGACGTTGTCGATCCGCTACCAACCTTTGCCGGAGAGTTGGATTCGTCTATTGGATACAGTGTTTCTTTATTAATTACAAAGAACGTAAATGATTTACGTTTATACTAAAATACCAATAAATTACAATACTCTTCGTACGTACTACTTTTTGTGGGCATTGCATCTTCTTGACCGTCAGAAGGCTGAGCCAATACGGACAACATGTCTCCGCTCAGGCGTCTCAACCTAATGAAGTTCTTAGGTGGATTGGAATCGTCGAGATTTTCATGTATTATCTCGTGAAATTTATTTTCCATCTTTCCAACGAATCGTTTGATACTACTTATAGGCACGACTTCAGGTGGTTTCGGAATAGAACCGGCACGAGAAGTTTTCTCAGTGGTTTCCGTTGACTTGGCAGAGTTCTCGTCCGCAGACGAATCTATTGGCTTCGTGGCTTGTAACTGAGCAGCGAGTCTCTGAATAGTTGTGAGCATTGGGTCCTTGGAACACGCGTTAATGGTAGAAGTCTCTTTCAAAATCATATTTACATCCGCGAGAGGATCCGTATCAGATTGTTCGCTACTGGAATCAGATTCGTAAACGGGTGCCGAATTCCTCGCGTTCTCGTTATCGCTCATCTCCGCGTCGCTCTCGTCGTTCTTCTTTCGATCTAGCGTCGCCAGAGGATCTCTGATCTTCGCCTCGGATGGATCTAATTCAGACGTGGACTGAGAGTCGCAGTTCGCGCTCGACGACAGCGATTTTGAGACGGAATTCTCGCACTGTTTGTCGTTCGAGGTTTCCTGAGTCGAAGGCGAAGCCGTTTCCGTATCTTCCGTGGAAGCTACGGCGGTACTGGAAGGTGGATCAGTCGTTGTGACTTGACCAGAAGAATTTGGAGTCTCGTCAGCGTCGTTCTCATTACCCGACACTAGACTGGTCTTCATCTTGTCCTTCAGCTTGTCTATGATAGAAAGGCCCTTCTTGTAAGTGTCCTTCTGCAACTTGATGCCAATATTCTGAAGGATCTCTTGCATTTTCCTCTTCCGTTCCAACTGTATCTCCACCTCTGTTTTCTCCAATTCTGGAGGGCAGACGAATACGCTTAGATTGCCTGTTGGTAAGTTCGAATCTCCATCCAATTGTGCAGTCTTCTTCTTCTCGTTGCTCTCAGACTGCGCCTCTAAACCATCTTCTGTCTTCTGCGACACGGGCTTGACATCTTTTACTTTCTTATCCTCGGTGTCGCAGGTCTCAACCTTTTTAACAACTTCTGTTTTGGTCACGACGTCGTCATTTTGCTCGACAGAAGTTAAATTATCGTTCGCAGACTCGTCAAGGTTTTCTGGACCTTCTTGGGACGTTTCCAGCTTCACCGTTTCATCGGCTAGGACATTCAATGGTTCCTGTCTGGCCGAGTTAAGAGACATGTCTACTTTTATTATTTCGCTCTTCGAGTCATCCTTGTGCCACAGTTCCATATGTTCTTCTAAATTGGACCTCTTTAGTTGGATGTAGTTGCAACTCGAGCACAAGTAACCGTGAACGCAATCATCGTCGGGTATTTCATCCTCGGTTATGGCTTCGTTGAAGGTACCCTTGAACTTACGACACACCTTGTAGTAGTGGGTCCTCATGGAGGACTTGGCCACAGCCTGATAGTTACAACTGTTACAGCGGAACCTGTATTCCCCTGTATGGGTGGTGCAGTGCTCGTAAAACGCCTCCACCGCAACCTTCATGCCACCCTCCGTGATGAAGGAACAAATCCTGCAATTGAATATGCAAGTTTCGTCCGTCAGAGGCTTCAACGTCGCGTTCTCCGACTTCGCCTTGGCTTCTTCAATCGCCAATCGAGCGTCCGTGGCGTTCAGCCTCGAAATGAGAATCTCCCTGCCGACGTGGCCCAGCTTGTAATGGTGGACGATATTTTTGCCTGTAAAGAAGCAGAGCAAACACTTGTACCGCTCCTGCCCCGTCCAAGCATAATCGATCAGCTGGTTTATGTTCACGTCGTAGAACGATTTAACTACTTTCCCTTTGTTCTTAACGTTCTTCGACGTCTCGCTATTACTGCTGGGTGCACTAACTGGTTTGGAATTTTTTATCGGCGTCGCGGTAGGAGAAACTTTGACGGAATCTTTGTTACTTTTAGTATGGGAACTGATCTTTTTCTGCTCGCTCGAGACCTTATCAGAAGTTTCAACGTCTTTGACGCTATCGGTATCCGTGATACTCTGACTCGTATTGAGCAACGAGTTGCTCTCGTCGTCGGTTTTGCCCTCCGAAAGCAGGGTTCCCGTTTCCAAGCTGACGTTCGTAGCATCGTAATCGTCTTTCGAAGAGAACGACGCCGGAGTCTTCTTCTTCTTCTTCTTGGACAAGATCCCCATCTGCCAATTGCACTTCTTCTTCTTCTTCTTTCCCAACGACTTCCGCACGTTCGGTTCGGTGGGCAGCTGATCGTTGACGTCGTCGTCGACGTCTGCGTCGCTTCCTTTGTCCGTGATCGACGCGTCCTTGTCCGGGTTGGCCTTGGAGGGCGTCAAGCCCACCAGAATGTTGCTCAACAGTTCTTCGTTGTTGCTGATCTCCGCCTTCGGCGCGTGGATGGCTGTCTTCTTCGAGGAAGCGACGCTGCTCGTCATCGATATGTCCGAAACGATACTCTCTCCGTCGGATAACGCGAGCTCGTCGACTTTGTTCTCGTTCGACTCGCCGATGGTCCTCTTCTTCGTTTTTCTCAATGGACCGGGCTTCTTCTTCTCGGTCGGTTCGGGGGTTTCCGGTTCCGGTTGCTTGTCAGGATGGAGGGAAATGTCCACCGCGGCTGCCAGCTCGGACACGTCTATGCCGAAACTCTCGTCGGACGAACTGTCGAACATCACTTTCAAGCAGTCCAGTTTCGAGATATCGGTTTTCTCGATCATCACCCGCGGCTCCTTGATCGTCTCTTTGTTGATGATACGTTTACTCCGTCGTAAGATGTCTCGTTCCTCGCTACTGGTGTCTTGGTTACCCGCTGTGCTGGAACTCTGAATCAATTCGGTTCTCAGAGCCAACGGTTGGTCCTCCTCGCTGTCGGAACCCGGAGGAGTGAACTGCTTCAAGCGTTGTCGAGTCACTCGCTGCGCCTCCTTTTTGGATTTGGTCTTCTTGCTGGGTTCATCCGAGGGTCGAGGCTTCGTAGATTTCTTCGGCTTGGTCGAAGATGTTGTTGCCTCCTCGATGTCGGAGTCCTTCTTAGTGGATGGCGTGGTTTGAGTGGGAGTGCTCGGCCCGACAGTCTGTTGATTCTCCTTCTGGGTGCGACATTGGCGATACCCAGTCGCAGTCACCACGTCTTCGCTTATGAACATCTCCCTTATATCCTCCTGAAGCATCTCCAACGAATTTCTCCTCTTCGCTTTCGCTTTAGGCGTCTTCCTACCGGACTCCTTGTCTTCCGCTGGCTCTTCGTTTCTGGACTCTTCCAGAGTGTCTGCTACCACGGTTTCTGTTTCCTCTGGAGCGGGATCTTCGCTCTTGGACTCGTCATGGACAGTACTCGCTACCTCGCTCGATGGCTCTGTGGGAACTTGTTGGCTAACGTCGGCCTTTGGTACGTTAAGATCGGAAGATTCGTTATTGGGCGTTGGCTCTTCGACGCTCTTATTTACATTAGGCGCCTCCTTATCATCCGTGGATGAATGTTCCAGCGACTGTTTGCTCCCAGTGTTCAGGATGCCCAGTCTTTCAGCGAGTGACTCGTCGTCCGAGCTGTCGGAGACGATCACTCGCCGTTTCTTCCTCGTTCGAACCTTCTTCGACTCCACAGTATCCTCCTTGTCCGAGTTGCTGCTCTCCGACTCCGACTCGATGATCTTCTTTATTTTCTTCAATTTCTTCGCTTGCAACACCTCTCCAAGCTTCTGCATGAACTTGGCCTGCTCGACGAACTTCTTCCCCTCCCCGAACTCGAAGGACTTCCTGATCAACGCCTCGATCCACTCTTGAGTCACCTCTTCCTTCGGTTTGGACCCTTCTGGCTCAGCATCTTCCTTTGGTTTAGATCCCTCCGGCTCCGTTTGTTCCTTCTTCTCGACGTTCACGGAGGATTTGGCAGACGTGCTGATAAGGTCTGGTTCGACGACAGTCGGCTCCTCGATTTTCTCCTCGATCATATCCGCAAACGGGTCCTCGTCCTTGGTAAAATCTGGAATATTTATTATCTTGTTCTCGGAAACGATTCCCCCGCCCTCGTTCCAATCCTCCTCCTCCAACAGGGGGTTCCCGTCGCTGCTGCTGCTCACTTCCGCGGTCGCGTCGTCCCTCCCGCTCTTCTTTGCTTCCTGTTTCTCGACTGGTTCCGTCGTCTTCGCCTCGTCGAGGTTGTGACTCGACGTGGGCGACTCGGAAGACTCGTTGCGTTTGATCTTCGGGATCTTGAACTTCTGCAGGCAGTAGCCTTGAGCTGCCTTGGCCTTGGTGTCGATCACGCCGTAGAGGCTCTCCAGAGGCGATTGCATCTTCTCTTTCGCCAATTTGTCCACCTGCTTGTCGGGGTCGGGACGCCTGTGGCCATCAGGCTTCGGAGGGGACTTGGTTTTCTCTTTGGCTTTCCTGAACGACGGCGGGAACGTCGATCCTCCCGTGGACCGTTTCCTCGGGTCCCTGTCGTTGAAAAGGTCCTTACCCTTTGGGGAGACGTGTTTGTCTCTGGCCAGACGAGGGTCCCTAGCGGAAACGTTATTGTCCCTCGACTGGGGCGACGTTTGATTCGCTGGAGCGTGTTCGGGGCGTACGCGCGGATCCCGGTCCGATATGTTCCTATTGTCTCTGACGAAACGATTCGCGGCGTCCCACTCGTTGTGGTTGTCCCGTGGCCATTCTGGCCTGCGAGCGTCGCGGTTAAAATTGTTTCTACCTTCGACCCTGTTCCTTTCGTTGTAATAGGGGCCACGACCCCTGCCCCCGCCGCGGTCTCTGTCCCTGTTCCAAGGACAGGGCGTGCTGGGCCGCGAGTACTGCCTCGCGGCCGCATCAGCGGGCCCTATGACCCCGCAGGGAACCTCGTTCTCCGGCCTGTAGGGCACCTCGTTAGGTCGCGGGGCTTGGGCGTCCCAGGACTGTCTCTGCAGAGGATACTCTAGTCCCCTGTCGAAGGGCTGCTCGTAGGGTCTGCCCTCCGGTTGGAAGTTCCGACACGGCGGCCCAACCGGGAATCTGGTAGGAGAGATCAGAGGTTGTATCGTCTGCACGTTGGGCACGTCGACGTTGGGCATTTCGTCCGGTCGGGGAATGTGGTTCAGGTCCTGGGGGCGCGCGTTGGGACTCATCAGGGGTCTGATGCCCGTGTTTGGGAACTGGTTGAGTCTAGACGCCTCGCTTATCGGATGGGGTTCCATCAGTAGCGGCTCTCTGACCGGGGCTACGTTCCACAGTTCCTGATGCATGCCCATCGGGAGCTGATAAGGTTGCGGGGTGGATACCGGTATGCCGGGGAAATTAGCGGCCGGCGGCCATTGGGTGGCGCAGAAATCATTACCGCCCACTGGCGGGTGCATCGGGGGCCAGAGAGGGGCCTGGTTCGGGACTTGCCTATTGAAGTACTCCGTGCCCTCCATCCTGAACTCCTGAGTCTCTATTCTAGGCGGAATCTCGGGAACGTTGCTCTGACGCCTCTGATACATCAAGGCGTTTCTCTCGTCCGGCATCCCCGGGCCGCAGGAATGCACAGGAATCGGATTCGACATGTCCTCGTCGGGCGGTCGACAGTGAATCAGATTCGACTTGTCTTTAGCGTTATCGTGACCGTGACCGTCGCGAGGCTGAGGATTACGAGGATGCCTCTCGTAATTGTCCGCGTAACGCGGCTCTATCTTTGAACCCGGCGAAGGTGGTCGACTTCTGTTGTCGACCGTCTTTTCCGCGTTCATCGGGAACATTCCCGGACTATGCGCTACGCTAACGGGTGGTCCCTTGGGTTCGCACGGTTTCGAAGACTCGCCCTTTGCGCCTAATACTACGGGGCCGCCGGTCGGTAAACATTTTCTACTCGTTAATTTTACTATGTGCTTGTCCACCTCCTCCCACCGTCTCTCGTTCTCTATGTCCATGTCTTCCTGCATCAGCAGCGACGACTTGGACGATTTCGGGTCTTTATCCTGCTTGTCTTTCTTCGGTTTCGTCTCGTCCGACGATTTTTCGCTGCCTTCGGACTTGTCGTCGTTTTCCTCGTTCAGCAACTCGGCCAGATCCTCCATGGAGAGCGGAGGCTCCGAAACCGGCGGCGGGGAGAGCAACAACGGCGCTGGCGGCTTCGACATGGGCCTGGGAATCGCGTCTTTGAGTCTGGGAGAAGTGTTCTTCGGTTTCGGGAACAAAATGTCGGGGTCTGGAGACTTCAATCGGACGTCCGGTACGTTCACCGGCGACTCCGACCTCGCGTCCGACGAGACCCCGTCTAAATTCGACCCGATCAGTCGATTCTTTTCCAGCATCGACGTCAACCGCCTGGAATTGCCCAGTGCCGGTACCGTAACGGTTGGTATGTGCCGAGAGGAGTGTATCGACATCGGCGCCAGGGGTCTACCATCGTTCAGTTTCTGAGACAAATTATTCCCGACCAATTTGATCGCGGCCGTCACGTCGTGGCCGGAATTAACCACCGGTTGCCAGTTCTTGTTCCGCGCCTGGTTCTCGTTCTCCTCCAGCATGTCCCACTCGCTGAAGGAAACGTCTTCCATGCTTTTGCTCAAGCTTCGCTGCGAACCGGGAGACACTGGGAGATCGTTGCTCGTCCGTTCTGTGGGTATAATGATGGGAGCTTTCGTGGGCAGCGTCTCCACCGGATCGGGGCTGGCTGGTTTACTGTCGTCCACGAAGTCCACGCTGCGCTCCGTGGGGATTATTATCGGCGCTATTTGGGAAGCGGTGTCGGGGCTAACGGGGGGGCTCGGGCTAGCCGGCGTTTCGTGAACATCTTTCTCGTCCATTGCGTCCACGACTTGCTGAGACTTCGCGACAGCCTTGCTTTGTTCACCATCCTCCGATCCGCTGAAATACATTCGATATCGACATTTTATACGAAACCAGTACCGTTTCACCGACTGTGGATCGTGGCGTCTCGTTCTTGAAAGAAGCAACGCGATTCTGCTACGGTTCAAACTTCATTACCGGAACTTAAATGTACAGATTTATCTAAATGACGACTACCGCAGTATCGTTTGCACTAAAGCTTAGTCAGATTCTCTTGTTATATTTCTCAACTATTCAAGAAACCAATGCAACACACGCCTCTGCCCAGTGGAATTTCTCCTTGGATATTCAGGTGCTCTCTTTAATTCATTTGCATCGGAGAACATGTTTCTTATGATCTCCAGTCATCCTACCTATGATATAAAATGTAAAAAAGCATGCTTCACGCGTGCAACTACAAAACAAAATCAGCGACGTGACACAATATTTCTTATAAAGGGTATCCAAACTGGTTTTTGCACTATCGGATAATGTTATGCAAAGCGTTAGACAGACGTACAAGTTGCACAAATATCGTTTAGGAAAAGTATTACAAACTTAATATCTCAGTGACTTCTTCTTGGCCAGTGATGCAAATGGATTAAAGCGCTTCGTTATTATTATTAACGACTGAAACCACAGGATGACCTTAATATTACATACTCTGTACATACTGTAAACTATTTAAAATTAAATAGTGAAAGTGTACAGGATGAGTAAGTACAACAACTTCTATTTTAGATATGTTTCTATACAACGAATGGTTTATAAGAAAATTCAGGGATACAGTTGTGCGACTCATCCTGTATACACGTTTGATACTTACTTCGAAGATTGTGCCGAGCTTCCCTCGTTTTTCTTATGCGGAAAATGCAATCCGGGTGTATTTCCCTGAAACTCGTATCAGATTAGAATGATTAAAATAAAAACACATTACATGCACTACGGAAGCCTGTAAACATCCAAAAAAATATAAAGAACGGAGACTAAGGAGGGATTCTCAAGCAGCTACATTTATTTAAGAAAACATAGTTAAATGAAAAAAAAAGAATGTTCAAATTCCACTACTCTACAAGCATTCGCTGAAGCCGTGTTTCAATGTGACTTAGTATAGGAAACAAATGTTTCGGTTAATCGATCTTCATAAATATCTAGTTGATTATTAACCGAACGAGCAAGTCAAGTCTTGTAAATGTGTAAAATTTTGTAACATCGAGCACAACTATTTTTTATCATTATTTACAGATATGGAAACAAAACAGATTTCTTGAAGTATATCGACAAGTAATTTCTGCCCAATTTACAAGTTCTAACTGGGACCTATATGCAATAACAACGCAAACTGTAACGTAATTAGGGTGCTATTGTGAAAATGCAATGGAAGATACAATCGTTCGTGTGACACTATAGAAATATTTAATAAATATAAACACAAGGTGTCTACGATAAAGAAATAAAGGGTGCAATTATTACGTTTGCTCTATAAAGCGCGTGATATAATCTGCGTTTCGTGGAACGATATAAAGGAGTTGTTTCAAAATGGCGTCATTCTTTTTTCTAGAACGGTACGATTCGTCGATTAAAAAAACTAAACTAATTTCGCACGAGGTAAATATTTATTACTGTTGTGACGCAAAGTGATTATAGAAGTAACTTATACGTATTCTCGTTTATATCCTTCAACCGCGAACACAGTACGAAACAATAACCACAATAGAGCATACAACACTGCCATATAGCTTTGATTCGCTGAATTCCCAAGTTGAATAACTATTCGAAATGTTTCTTTTAATAAAATAAATTCAGTGCGTCGCGAGTACATGGCAGTGTAAAATACCTCGATCAATATATCTACCTTTTCTACTTTGTTGTGCAACTTCTGTAAAACGTCCTCGCAGCGCTGCAAGGTCTCGATCTTCAGCCTATTTCACCGACAAGAGATCATGATTAATCGATTTTAAAAATCAAATTCCATAAATTTTTCGTTTCTTTGTCGTTATTAGCAATAAACTTGAATGTTTTACAAGTTTCAAATCATTTTTATGTGTACTGTTATTAATTATAAACGGGTCCGTCGAACGTTACAATTAGGAAAAGGAAATGTTTTGTTTTAACATATCCGAGGCGCTTGCGAAACGTACTTTCTCTTGCTGTTCGATAGAATCCCGTGAAGGCTTTGCATTTTCTGTAGCTGAACTTCCCGTGACTTGTCCTTAACGTTTTGTAATCTTTCTATCATCGCTTCCAAAAACGGAATGTACTTTTGCATCTCGGCGAACTTCTTGTCGTACTCGTCCATCTTGTTCGTTGTATATTGTTCACCTGTGTCGGGAGAAGAAAACCTTTATTCTACGTCTTCTGTTTGGAAGAAAACAATTCATTTCATTATTCTATTTCTTATAGGACACGTTTCTTCCGTTAATTTTACTCGCGTGTATACATATTTTCGGTTCTTTTAAGCACTTGCTCGGTTTCACATTGGTGCCATTGTTCTACCATACGCAGTAATATACAATGTATTTTATTATTAAATAATTTTTTTTTATTCATTTAGACTATTTCATAAGAATTTTATTGTAGGTAATAATGTATTTAAGCTCCTAATATGTTGCAACTAACTTACTAACCCCTACACGTACGATTTGATTTCAAATACTTCGTCGAACGTATACTATTTGATTTTATTTAGATTTGTTCGCACAAGAATAGATTCGTTTCATAAATACATCGTAAATGTAAAAATGTGTTGATTTTAATATACAAGGTGTTCAGCCACCCCTGGGAAAAATTTTAATGGTGGATTCTAGAGGTCAAAATAAGACGAAAATCAAGTATACCAATTTGTTGATGGAGGCTTCGTTAAAAAGTTATTAACAATTAAATTCAAAAATTTCAAATCGTTCTGGAAAAATTATTTTCGGTTGCGAGGGTCAATTACAATCATTTTTGGTGAATACACATATCTCCGAAATCCTATCCACTTTCGAGAAAAAAATCAGGTAGGTGACGAAATTTTTCGACGGAAAAAAAAATTTTAAATCGTTCTGGAAAAATTATTTTCGGTTGCGGGGGTCAATTACAATCATTTTTGGTGAATAGACATACCCCCGAAATCCTGCGCATTTTCGAGAAAAAAATTCAGTACGGACGGAACTTTAAACGTTAATAATTTTGTAATAAAGCTTCCATCAACAAATTGGTATTCTTGATTTTCGTCTTATTTTGGCCTCTAGAATCCCCCATTAAAGTTTTTCCCAGGGGTGGCCGAACACCCTGTATAAATACTTCATTGAAAGAAGGTTCAGAAATATACGTTTACATATCCCCTCTCTTCTCCCTTCACCAAATCAAGCTTTTGTACCGTTATTGCCTTGAATTGATTGATATCGGTGACTACGTAGAAGATAAGTCACTATGAAAGTTTAAATACGATAAGGTACTATAATCTAGATAACTCGCTATTTAATTACCACATCTCTTAATTTACGACAGATCCCTCTACAAAAAACATAAGAATCACAAACGAAGCGACGGGTATGACTCACGTCATTAACGTATTCCACGAATCGATATTACGATCGATCTGTTTCAAATGTTTTTACACTCTCCTTCACTCCACTGTTGCATTCTTTTTTAGAAAGAGAACATTGTTCTTTGGTTTGAAAACACCGGAAGCTTTGGCGTCAAATTTTATTAAACTCTGTTTTACGATCAGACTTAAATTTTCATTATCGTTCTCTTCTCGAACAAACACGAATAATAAACTGGACACACTGTATAATAAAATCAACGTGTGAAACATAGTAATCGTAGCATAGTAAATCGAAGCTTATTATTTGGAGAGAAAGCGTTTAACGGAAAAACTATGTCGTTTAAAATTTGTGCTTTCATTTCTATTTACACGTTACAAACACGAAATCCTTGTATTGATTTTCTGGCATTAAATTTATCACGATAACTTAAAATCTTCGATCGTTATCTCTCTTCGGTCCTCTTAAGTACCGACAATTTAGTTATCAATATTGTAATATGAGCACCCTCGTAATATTATCCTTCTCTGTTACTCGCTGCTATATAGTTTCCAGCGAGAGGTTACGTAATTACGACTGCCAGTGCTCGTCGTGAAATGCTTGCAATTACGCGAATTAACCGTAATAGTAAATACTTCATAATTTATTCATTGTTCCAAGTCTATTTATAGAATTTCCATCTGTTGCATAGAGCATCCTGTGATTTTGCAATCCTTTGGTCAGCGTGCTCGTAATTCTACACTCTCCCCTGGCCGTTATTTATAGATTTTCTTATTAACTCATTCAGACCCACGAGTCCTCTCACGAGTAATCGATAACACGGTATAATGAACAGCACAGTTGCATCGGATGCGTGTACACAACAAAAAAAAGAACTTGACGATTCGTACGTAGTACTTTATTCTCGTGCCCTAAGGAGAATCCTTCTTCTACAAACGTTACAATATACAAATACAATTTCATTCGTGTCATCGAATTAATCTCCACTATTTGTGCAGTGATCGTGTTCTATTCGTCGTTTTAAATAACTTCCTACACCGCACTAAATAATTCCGACAACAATACGACGAAATTCAATAATTCCAAGCGATACACATTTTCACATGTGCGCGAACATACGCCATGAATTATTTTATACCGTGTAGATACTTCGACCATTTCATTGTTGGTCCTTGGAATCCTGTTGGAACTCTTCATCACAAATTCGTAACACTAGTAACCCATAGGCAACACACGATTCACTAGATTTTGAGCACAAAACCATTTTTTTAACCAATCGTTCGAAAGAAATCGTTCACGTACAATTACCATTCGAAACGTAATCGTACAACGTGTCCAATTTTCTAATCGACGATTAATTGAGACGAGCATAACTCGTACATTTCTATGATGTGTACGCTCAGTTTGTGTATAAACTGCTGCACGCACATGCGTGGTCGAAAATCTTCAATGTAGTTAGATATCGTAGCCGCACTACCCAGACGATAGGAAACCGATTTCTAAACCACAACGATGCTTCCTCGACAGCCATTCCAGGTTGCACAAAGCCCGAAATTTCGGGCCAAGAACGCCGACGACCGATACACGCTTCCCGTACGATCGAATCGAAAAATATTCGACAAACTGGACGTGAGAATCGTGGACGAAAACAGAACTGGGGAATAAACATCTCCGAATCTCGCGTTGGGTTCGGATTTCGTTGGATATCGAAGGTAACGCTGGCACGAGAGAGCGTTGCACGCTTGCGGCAATTTGCATCGAAATCGAGAGACGCTTTCATTAAGCGTGTCACTCGTCGATGCGATTAAACTTGTTCGAGTGATTATTGGAATGGCTTTTGTACGTACCAAGTATCGTGACTGGGTTTCGACAAATTCTATACGTGAATTCGGCAAAACGAACGAGTAACAACCTCAGGAAATGTTCCACATGTCAGACTTCACTGCGTAGCCCAGCGTGGTCTCATGATCTCACGAGAGAGGAAGTAGATGGAGCCACGCTCGCGGTAATTCCAAATCATCGGTAGATAGCAGGTCGGTAGCAAATATGGCGACTGTACGATATTCACGGTAACGTTCGGTAGAATTTTACCCTCGCTTGAGTCTTTCAAAGACAAACGATCCGAAATTTTCACATGTTTTAACAATTTCAGGATGTTCCATGTAATATTAGGTCGGTATAGTTTTGCATGATTACCGCAGGTCATCGAAACTAGGGGACACTAAATCAAATCGGTAATTGATTGCAACGAGTCGTACGATCGCAATTGAGGAGATGCGTCTGGATCTTAAATTGATTATAAATTTTCTCGTTTCAACGAAAATAACTGCAGTATATAATATAAAAATCGTCGATCGAAATCCAAAAACTGAAAAACCGGAAAGATGTGCTTGATAATTAAGCACCGATTCTGAAAATTATATCCATCGCTAACACGAACCCGTCCGAGTTTGAGTAACCAAATGCAGAGGAGTATGTTGCGTAAGAATCAAGTATTACTGGAAATTACTAAATACTTTAATAAACTACTATTAACCGATATGAATGAACATTTATACATAAAAAATAATTACAAGATCGAATGCTACTGATTATTATAAACACAAATGCAAGTGTCGATAAAATAGGACTTATTTTCATTCCGCAATTTATATAGCTGTATTGTTTAACCTTACACAATCACGCCCATACACTGTGTGCATTAAAATGTAAAACATGGAACATGCGAGCGTACTAACGTGCAAATAATAGAATGTAATTTTCGTTCCCATGTTTTTACAGGTTGTGGCATACCCGTACTGTCGATTCGAAGTCTCCATGTAACTCAATCACTCGAGCAATTTTGTACCGTAACGTAATACGTGGAATGGAAAACATTCTAGTATGTCTAAAAAATTACCATATTAAAATGTTTTCGACAAAGAAAAAAAGGTGTCCTTCAAGGTGGATTTTATCTTTTCTTGCAAGGCGGATAATATATTGTCCTATCGAGGCTACGTTCTACAGGTTTCTTAAAACAAAGATAACTGAGAATATATCGTCTATTCCTTACCAAAGAATAGATTCTTTGTCCGCGACGGCACACCTGGTAAAACATTACACAGCAGATTATATCCGTAGACATTGATCTTCTGCTGTAGTTTTTACGCTCGATCCTGCGTCCCGAGACTCAGCAGCACGGCGACCCGACGAAAATGCGAGATCCCGAGTTTCCGAGGTATTAATGCATGCCTACGGTGCACACACCGCACGGAAAATCGTTTTTAACTCTTTCACAATGTCGTAGTTACGTTGGAACTGACACTTTTTTTCCCAAGTTCTGCAGCGCGCTCTATAATTCCGTATCGCGAGCCAAAGAACTAGACCATCGCGATGAATATCCGAGCATCGAAAATACTGATTCGGCGTACCCGGTGGCTTGATTATCGAACAAAAACGTCACTTCCCACGATGCACGCACAAAGACGTCACACGATCATTATTTGGCGATAGAATTTTCCAAAGTTCCTACGAACGGTACGCGTCGCTTGAGCCAGCTTCGAGAATCGCAATATAGTACGAATGCCTAGAGTTCCTGACACTCTCCCCGACGACCAAAGTTACGAGAAATTTGTTAATTTGTCGCCCGACTCGACGTCGATTTTACCAAAACTATTACGGTTCTGTACGATACGTCGTATGTAGGATTTATCGTCGAACAATTCTCTAACACGACGTACACGTTTGAGAGTCTTGATGCACTTCGATGTTCCGCCTTTCAAGACTTCGGACTTGGATTTCAACCCACGACAATTCATCATGGTGGCTTGTCATTAATTTTCGGAACATATATACACATTGTTATGTTAACCATACATATGACGAACACGTAACTAGCTTTCCTGCGTATCACGGATGAACAGCGCGATCGTATTAAGGATCTTCAATTTTCCTACGAAATACAACGGATATTAATCTCGACAAAATGCTCGGGAGAACCGGAACGCTTTAGTTTCGAAAGCATACTTTTCTTAATTACAATCGCACTGCTTACGAGGAAACGAGCGAAATGGCAACCCTGAAGGGCGCACGATGTACAATGGCTGCCATTAATGGCGCTAGGTAAACGATTTTACGTGGATCTGCCAATATATTTTCCGCCAGATGCTACCCACCTTTTTCTACCACGTTTGCATAATATCGACATGGCTTTTTCGTTCTCTTCTTCTATTACAGAGATTATGGTAACGAAACAATAAAATTAATAATAAGTTTCGAGCGAACAACCAAACGATTTTTATTGTTTTATCAGTTTAGCATCAAAATCAGTCGCAGCACGACATTCATTACATGTTTTCCAAACGTCGATAAATAACTTTGTCTCTTAACTACCATTCTAGGACTGCGAAAATAAACAAACGTCACACGTACGATGTTGCATTGTCTTCCCAATTTGTTCCATGTTGCACTTACCAACGATTACTTAGCATTAATCTAAGCAATAAAACTAAAGATTAAAATTGAGTACGCATACACGATGTTTACTGCGAGAGAACCGTTTCTGGATAGGATTCGTGAAGTCGGGAATACATATGGAACGTTGTATTAATAAAATCGATTCAAGGTCTGGTAAACGTATTCCATTATTCCTCAATTAACTGTTACAAGCTGCCACAATAAAACTCTTAAGGATCCAGAATTTAATCGAATTTATTATTTCACACGACTTCCGTGTATTTTCGATATCAAGATTTACGTGACCGATATAATTGAGCGCCAGGACAAAAGACGCACCTTCGACTACGAAGATCCGCCATTTACGACTTCTAAGTTTCACGTAGTATCCCCTCGTGTAGTTCGGTGATTCTCGGCGTTGGGACACGAGATTCGACGAACAGAGCCGAAGTTCTTGTACCCGATCCCGACCGACGCTTCGTAATTCGCGCGAATATAGATTACGGTAACTATTAATAGAAAAACAAGAAATTTACTCACAAAATTCGCTTTTCAAACACGTCGAATGTTATATAAACGTACAAAAATCAACGAGCGTCACGATATTACTTCACTAATATTTAACAGCAAATTAAACAACAAAATAAATTATACAAGGTACATTATGATAACAAAGTATAAATAAGAGAAAAAGAGTGAACATGTTCACGATTTTTCGTTAAAAAATTTATATTATATTTTATTTTGTTTGCAATCGATATAAATAAGTAAATTAACTTTCACTGCTAGACTAATTATCAAGGAACTATTTTCATCAGATCACTGAACGACGCAAAAATAATACCGAAAAAAATTACAGAATATAACAAAAAATATTGGTAAAAAAATAATTTTTAATTTCTATTTGAACTCATGATCCTTAAAGTATAAAAATTAAATTCAGCATACAGAAACCTATGTTATATAGTTGTTTAAAACAACGATCGATTTCAATTAATACTCCACAATAAAAATACATGAAAACAAATACTGAACTTGAATTCTTACTGTACTAATTTCAATCCACTTCAGTAAATAAATGAAATGATTAAAATTACAATTAGAGTTCTTTGTATTTATTTGTGATGTTTTTTTTTCTTTTTTTTTTCTTTAATTTCACTTGCTTAGAATTTGAATTATTTACAAAAATTTCGGAATTATGAAACAACCTTTAGGTCCACACATTCATGGGACAGAATTCTTCTTCACTGTTTATAATTAATAAAGCAGGAAACACTATTACTTCTTTTTATTTCTTAAAAAAGTGAATTAAAAGTTCCTTACAATTTTGTAATAAACGTTTTCCACCAAATATTGGTCAAAGCTTTACTATTCTTAGAAATGGAGTCTCTAACGTAAATGCAATTTGCTTTGTAAAGAACATTTGTCTTTTTAATTGTTCTTGTTAGTATTTTATAGATTTCACTTGTAATAGCCTCTCCTAAGGCAACAATGTTACTTGAAGGTGATATTCGAGAACAAATATCACTATCTATTCTTTTGGTACTTAATAACACTAATACATTTGTTGTTGGCAGTACTTGTAGTAATTACATTCCTGATAAGTAACTTCCAACGGCTTTGTCTTTTACATAGTATGGTTTCCACACTTATGGACGCGTCATGTAAGTCTGAACAGTGAACAGAGATTGATCGGGCAATTGAAAGTGTGATCTGAACATTACATCTTTGACATATCGAGATACTTTAGGACAATGAATATACTAAAAAACGAGAGATTTCTAACTATAGTGGATAATATATTACATGTTTCACTAATTTTTTTTTCTTTTTATTAATGAAACGACAATTATAATGTTCGGAGAACCTCAAAAACATCTAATCGCATTTTCTTTATGGTACAAGATTAAAACTGCAGCGCAGCTACAGTATTGCGACTATTAAATCAGAGTCTGATTAAGTTGTTCTTTAATATTTATGTTATATACGACTGTCCTTTTATTACGATAAATACATGAAACATTCTGTATTTGCGAATTATTTTTGCAATCAACATTTAATGTACAATTGTGTACATTACGTGATAAATTTTTACAAATATACTCATTGTTTAATTTGTAAGATATACTGCCATAAAAACAAATTTGCACTGCAATGGAAATTTAGGATACGCAAAATTGTTAAGTACTAACTTCGTAACAACGTAATAATAAAAATGTATAAAAATCATATGAAAAATTTCGATAAGCGAAGACACGATAAATATATTCGAACGAGAAAATCAATTTTATTAAATAGAATATTGTAGTAAAACAAAGTGTAGATTTAACGGGTGTTCACGAATTTTACAATTCAATGAATGTCACTGCATGCATACGAAAAAGAAATGTAGAAAAATACTTTTTTTATTTATTTTAACGTCATGTTAGCTTTTTTAGTATCCTTCCGTGGCTTGCAAATATTCTGAAATGTTCGAGTAACTATTGTTTCTGAATCAAGAGGAAAATGCAATTTCACGTAATCAGCGCGAGACTCCAATTTATCATTAATTAGCGTAACGGAAAAAATTAAGAAAGGAAATCCAAGTTTTTGTATTAATATTATTATTACTATAGGCCAAATATAATTATTATAATTGTACGAAAAATGCAATCACAAAAATAACAAGTTAATTATAAAGCAAACATACGTCGGCAGCAATATTGGCATTAAATCTTTTGAATTTCTAAACACGTTTCAGTTGTTTTTGTCCCTCTATGACCGGTGGAATGTTCTCTTTATGCTTCTTGAATGTTTCTCTATTCAATTCTTGCGTTAAATAAATTCTGCGAACGCATCTCTTATATATCTGCCATGGTTAACTGCTAACTTCCATTTTCGAACATGATAATAAAACACTGTACCCTCACACTTCTACAAAGTATATATTATATATTTTTTTTTTTTTTCGTTTATTACGTTATGCAAGACCTGATGAGTGCTCGCTCTCGTTACTTTATCCCGTATGTCCATTTTGTCCATACGACTCGCATTGTCCATATCATGGTAAGTAAAATATAATATATGACACTTTTCTCTGTATATGTAACTGTACTCGAGAGTGTTGCAAATATGCAAACATTTTCCAAGCTTTCGTGAACATTATTTGCCTGAAAGACATTGCAAGCTAACCATTACTGATCATTAGTACGATTCCCGTAATATTAAAATGTACAATAATATTAAATTCGAATAATTTTAGATTTCGAGGCGCAGCTGTAAATTTTTTAAACCTAGAAGTACAATGATTTCGTAACTAAAAAAAAACTTGCTGTCCGTGCTTAGGCAAATAATTTTTCGTTATTCTGCCATTTAGAAAGTATGCGTAGCGATACAGTACTCAAACTTTCTCACAGTCAATAATAAGAATTTCCATGTTTTTCAGTCTTATAAGCAATAAATCTTTGTCATAGAAAGCTGTTCGTTCAGACGACTTTTTAAATGGCCTCGCTTTGCGTTAATTAGTTTCAATCTTACATCTTATTCCATATTCCTCTGTACATTTGTAGCTTTCAGTTAACACACTTTGTAAAATTTGTTACAAATAAGTCGTAAGATACTAAAAAAAAGGACGTTCCCATACAAAAGGAAATACTGCTCAATCCATCTGTACCGTGTCCAAAAATGTTTCTGACCAAGGGTGGATATAACTTCTTTCTAAACCTTACTCCCTTCAAGGTTTATTGCCTAAATGACTCTGTGTATGCAAGCAGAATTTTTTTTTTTTTTTTTTTTACATTGTATCACTTAAACAGACTTTTTTTTTTAAATACGAGTGAATCTTCATACTGAGTGTTTAATATGAAAAGCCATCTAATTTAAAAGGTATAATTTGTCACAGACAGTAAACTGCCAATAGAATTCTCTGCTTGCAATTGTAAATATGAGAAGGTACAATATTAATCTAATTATGCACTGTAGTCGATGCATGCTGAAGTCTTTCTAATTCTTCCAACGATAAGACATTCGTCTGGACAAGCTCCGGAAGCTTACCAGCCCGTGCCTGAGCGAGAAGTTCTGGACTAAACCATCGCGCCAATTGATTCGAAGTCGGTGAAAGATCTCCACCATTAGTACCCACATATCCTAAACCCGGTGATGTTTGACGACCCACAGGTATGTTTAGTTGCTGTGATCGCATTACTCGCCCATCTGTGAAAAATATTTATCAAACTTACACCTAGTATTCATTTTGTTCTAAAAAAATAAAATAGAAAATAATAACAGATGAATACTAAGTAAATAAGCAAGATAAGTGTGTTCTTAGCCACCTTTAATCCACAATGATCGAAATGAGAGGATAAGCAACTGTAGGCGCAAATAATTCGTTGAACAGAATTACGATTTACTTCTTCGTTCTAACAAAGGTCCTCTTCAGAGTCTCAATCTATCGAGTATACTATTTAATTGTGTAATACATCTGACGGTACATTAGTACTTTATTGGAAACTGTTACCACGTAATCGAACGATTAATGGAGTTATTTCCGCTACGATAACGTACGACAAAACAAGAATTACTGCAACTTGATCGGGGATGTTTTACCCTGTCCGCCATATTAAACAGATCTTGTCCTATTTAATATTCACTTGTTTCTTATTTTCTTAAATCGCAGACGAACACTAGTATACAATAAATTGTTACTCGGAATAAGTGAATTCTTTCTTACAATTTATTTGTACTGACAGTTGATGCTTTTTTTTTTTAAATAACTAATTATGAAACACTAATATGGAAGGTGGCTTTTTATATGAGTTGAGAAATATGAATTGTGAAATGGAAATATTATCTAATGATACGGATGAATTAATCGTATTATAAGAAATAAGGTCAGCCTAGAACTATTAGTTCATTACTTTAAGTTCGATCCAAAGATAAATGCTGTCTAGACTGGTTTAATTAAGAGGAGCAGCTAAAGAGTGAGATCTAATTATTCCAATTTCTGAACACCATTGCATGCAATTTGACTAGGCAAGAGGAAGACACCTGAAAATGTTTCAGAATAATAAAGTTAATGCAACAGGGTAACGGATATATCTAATAAAATACTTGTACACGTTAAAAAAAAAAGAAATAGTTCTAATATACTGTATAATAACGTTTTAACGTGCTCGGAATGTTATAGTTAACAAACATAAATTATGTATTTATAACATGTTAAGCGATAACAAGAACCGAAGTGTTTGTTAAGGCGAGGTTCCGGTTTGTTTGGATGATAAATCGAATTTTTCTTATTGTTCCAAGATTTAAACAAGTTATAGATGTAAAAGAAAACACACTATACGCTTCAAATACATATTCCTCAAAATGACTCATTTTATCATTCAACAAACTAGAATTCTGTTTTAAATTGTTAATCAAAGGATAAAAACCAACTGTTCGATCAAATAAAATAAAGAAATTTCCGTATTTGTAATGTTAAAAGTGATGCATTTCAAACAAACAACCTTACTTTTAGCGATAAAAAAATGATGTATAAATTAGACTTGTTTCGACAGCTTGTTTCAAATGCCTCCCCTTACATTATTTATTAACCAAACGTTTCGACGGTATGATTCAATTTCTCTTTTACAGGGAAATAGAATAATATTGTTACCTGATCGACTGGAATTGTAGTTCTGATTCAAAATAATTTGCATCTGCGAATTCATAGTCCGTTGCTGCTGTTGCTGTTGTTGCGGCTGATGTTGCATATTAGCGAGATGCGACTGAATCTGATCCATTTTCATTTGGTTGCTCATGGTATTTGACCTCTGATTTATCATCGAATTCTGAGCAACATTGTATTGCGAGGCACTGTGATGCTGCGACTGAATCTGCTCCATTTTCATTTGGTTGTTCATAGTACTTGACCTCTGATTTATCATTGTATTCTGAGCAACATTGTATTGCGAGACACTGTGATGCGGTATAGGTGTAGTCATGGTATGTTTGGACCGTGCTGGATTCCCATACACGCTCGAAACCGTCCTATGTTGTTGTTGTTGCTGTTGTTGTTGTTGAAAGTCTGTATTCCCGCTATATTGAAACTGATTACCACCACTTCCGCTGCCACCTTTCACTATTGGTCGGCCTGTAATAGATAATGGAAATATGGACGTTACGCGATGTTGATTCATACTTGTGTTTAAATAAATCTTTAATGTTGATCGAGTGATGTCAAGCGTTTTATTGCAACTGGAAGACAATGGCACGATTTACAAGTTATTTGAAATTACAATAAAATTATTAAAAGAACTCAAAGAAGAAAAGTTAACGTTAGTGTTAATAATAACTGGATACCTGGATGCTGTTTGATAGTTGGATTCGACCGCGTGGATTGAACAGATTGTGTTCGCAATGTGTTATGCCGAGAAAGAACACCTTGTGATAGTAACTGAACGGCAGACTGCATTTGTTGTATCTGCGATGTTTGAGATTGAGCTGCCAATTTCGATGGATCGTTACTATTGCCTGAATGAAAACAAAAACTATATTAGGCAAAGATATAGGAACGATATATATTTAAGGATTAAATATATACAAATAAATAAGGTGTAAAGCATAATAGGCATAATATAAACAACTTAACTTCCTATTTCTTCTGTACATATTTCGAACACGTACACAAAATAATATAAAAGTCTCTTTTGTTAATATATTATAATACATCCATACAGTTTTAGTTAAATATTATCTTCATTCTTTCCATTTGTGTAAACAAGTTAACAAATCGTATAAAAAATATTAATCTCACTTTCTAAGAGAAATGGTACTTGTTATTAATTATAATGTAAATTATGTCGTTTAGAACTATTTAATATTGATATGAAATGAATAATTTAAAAAAAAATTCTTTCTTGAGCCAAACCTACAATATTTTTTTTTGTACACTTAATTAAATATTTTCTTTTAGATCCGATAAGAAAACATATAAAATAGTAATGAAATAGCATGCAAACATAACTTCTTGATATATTTTCAGCTTTAAAAAAAAGTAGAGATATTAATTTAAAAGACTACCAAACACCGTACTCAATATTTATAATATTATTCGAAAGTACTTTATAATTGTCTTAAATTTAACAGAAACGGCACTAGAGTCATAATTAATACACACATATCCCTTATCCACATCAAATCGTAAAAGCTTAAATTGAAAAACTGGTAAGCGCATGCATCGAAGTATAAATCATATCAAGCATTCCATTAAAGGAAAATGAAAATGTGTAAAGGAAAACTTAAAGCATTAAATGTATTTATAAAGCATTTTATTTTAAAACTATTCCAACATACGTTATCTCTTGTAATGACGTTCATATATATTGATCTATGCAAAAAAAATTTAATATACAATACTAGTTTCAAATAGTATTGGTGTTTTAAGCAAAAATAAAAAAGTACTCATTTTCATGTATAATTTTGCAAAATTATAGATGAACCAGCTATCAAACACATTGAAGGTGTCGAGCGAAAAGAAATGAGAGGAAACAAAAATATCGTTACTCATTTTAATACAAAAATAAAAAAGTAATATTACATTAGATAACAGTCACAGATTTATGAAATTCTCTTTCTTTCTATGCGACGATCGTAAAACACTCGGTATTTTAAGTAACAACTTCATCGATTTCCGAATTTAATACCTTGATATCGCCTATCTTACCTACCGTCTTATTATTTCCAACTGTTACCGTTTCTATCTCAAATCTTTTATCAGTCAATAATTTGTCAAGGATAAGAGGACTACTATTATTATTACTGTCGTTTATATTTATCGTAATAGATTTTTTTGTAGGCGTGTTTTCGTTTAAGGACTCTTCGGTTTCGCGAACGAATTCATTTGCCTTCGACCTGTTCGAATCCGAATCCGAATCCGAATTGTTGTTCGCATCTCTTTTTTGCTGGACAGAAAAGAGATACTTGGACTTTAATGCGGATTCCTCTACCTTTAAATTATTGTTATCAATCGACTCGTGTAAATTTATTGATCGCGGAGCACCGATCTCGGCCGTGTCACCATGTTGCATGGCATCATGATTAACAAGCTGAATTGCGTTGTCAAAATAAGCGGGTGTCTGTGCGTAAATGAGTCTTTTGTACTGAAATGCGTTACGATAGTTGTTACGATGCTCATGAATTGTAGGACAGAATGAAATAACTGTTTCTAATTGATGATTAGACTGATTCGCACCCTCAGGTTCCTTATCAGCAGTCATTTTACGTAACACTGATGTTGGGGTAAAAGCGAGTGGCGTTGGGCTCATGGTCTGCTTCGCCGGTGAATTAATAAGAGGACTCGACGCTCTCTGCTGAGCTTGTTGTTCTTCTTCATCCTGCCGCTTACGGTAGTTCTCACGTTGTTCCTCCAACTTTTGCTTAATTAGAGCATTTTGCATTATAGTCTGTGCATGCATAACAATCGCCCGCGGTGAAGGAACTTTATGCTGCATCACTGTTAAAATAATAAAGATCAAGCATATTTTTAACGAATAAAAAGTGATCATTCTACGATTTCATCGAATCTTTATGACATTTAGATAAAAAGCAAATAATAGCAATTTATATTCACTTCAAAAGAATTTATTCAAGGTAAAGCTTCTCCGTATAATAAATAAAGAATGACAATTTAATCGGTTCTCTAATTGATAGGTACGTACTCTATATAATTTCATCGTTTTGATCTTATGTTATATTATAATGAAGAACTCGATAAGACGGACTAAATTGCCAACCTTAAAAACAATCAATACTTTAACAGGAAAATCACCATTAAAGATTGAAAAACATCGAATTCTCTTCAAAATTGCAGTCTAAAAATATTAAGGTGGACACAACGTTGACCGCTGGACGTGCCCCAAAACTGTTTTTTTCAACACACATATTATAATACTGTTATACATGTATAGATAAGTATAATAATTATTATGCTGTTTGTATGTTAGATTATCCTTTTATATTCTATTTTATATTATAGTCGATCGTCGGTAGTTCTGGTGTTAATACTGAACTAGTACCCAAATCAGATAAGTTTCTTTAAAAAATGGATAACTGGTATGCCTTTTTAAATTACGATTACTTAAACGAGCGTTACTTATATTTTAGTAGAGATAAAGCAGCAACATAACAGAACTGTTATTATATTTAATATTCTACCTGGATGCTGTACTGTTAAAACACTGGGGCTAACTGTCAAATTTGGAGATATAATTGCAGGTGGACAGTATGCTGTATTCCAAACATCGTAATACATATTTATACTATAACACTACAATATTCATAATAAAGAATCTATACTTAATAATCAGTGAAATTCACAATAGAGCACACAATAATTTCTTACTACATATTACCAAAAGAATGAAATGAAAGTACATATACAATATGTCCACGTATTTTCTCCGCCTGAATATCTTCGTTATTCCATACAATACTCGATAATCTTATTTACAAAAGTTGTAGAGTTTGAGGAGGTAAAAAAATATAATATGAATTCTTTATAGAAATACATTTTCGCTTATTGTTTGGAACCACGATGATGTTCAAGTGGACAAGATACCTGGGACACATTGCATATAAAAACAATTGTAAAGGAAACATTAATCTGCGAAGAAGTTGAGAAATTCGATAAAACATACAACCATAGTTGACACACTGTAGACAAGCATATTAAAT